GGTGTGCTAGTCTTTTACACTCCCACGCTCTAGTCCAGGAGTTGTTAAACTGTCTCATAAAGTGGCCCACCTCTTAAGGAGATACTGGCCAACACACCCCTTCCCTCCCACTGGTGCTAGCATGAACCATTTTCCCTCCCACTGCCAGAACACCGCTGGCAGCTACTGCGATGGCTGACATGACAAAGTAACAAGGATGGAAACAAGGAGAACACTCAGCACTACTAGACCAGCCAGCTTGCTGCAGTCCATTGAGGGTCTGATGGATGGCTGCTGTTTGGGAACCATGGGTCGAGTATGACAGGTTTCAGAGGAACAGCCGTGTTCGTCTGTATTCGCAAAAAGAAAAGGAGTACTTGTGGCACCTTAGAGACTAACCAATTTATTTGAGCATGAGCTTTCGTGAGCTACAGCTCCAGGAGACTAGACTCCCAATTCTATTTCTGCCTCTGCCACAAACTTCCTATGGGATCTTGGGCAAGTCACTTAAGGCCAAATTTTTAAAGGTAGTATAGGCTCCTAACTTCCATTGATTACTTTTGTGAATCTGGGCCCTGGCCCTTAAAGTCTCTGTGCCTGGCCTTTGCTTGTTAAACAGGGACAGACTGAGAGAGAGAGAGAGTGTGTGTGTGTCTCTGTCTCCCCCTTAATTTGTGTTTTGAGATCCTTGAATGGAAGACACCACAGATTTGCAAGCTATCTACTCCCTTGCAGTGTTTATGACCATACTGTGTGTAATAATGGTATATCTGCCCTGGGAGATTATGAGGCTGCTGTAGGCAGGGAGGGACAATGGATTAGCTGGTGTGTGTAGAGATGTCAAACTAATATCTGCCAGCATTTGAAAGAGATTAATAGGTTGGGTTTTTTTTTTTAATACTAAGCATTGCTACGATAGCTGAACATCTCACAACAATTACAGACAAGGTGACATCACAGAATGCTACAAAAAGAAGAGCATGCTTGGCAGGTAGACCTTAAAGGAATCGTACACGCCAGTAGCTTTTGTAAGAGCTAAGCATTATCATTGCTGCATTTTAGTATTCAGATCCCAAATCAATTTACTTTGCACATTAAATGTTCATTAATCAACACCATTAAAAGAAACCTCTAATGGGGAAGTCCCTTTCACTGTCACTGAAATGATTTAGACTGGGTCATAGATATTTTATGAAAAAAATACAACCCCTAACTGCGGCTCTCCCTCCCCTAGGGTAATGAGCTGATCTTTCTTCTCTCCTGCCAAGCTTCTCCTTCTGCTGGAATCCCCTGTAGTCAAGTCATAATCCTGTGTTTGTGACACTTGTCTGTTGCCGTGAAAGTGATTGTGATGGGCCAGACTTGGCACCGACATAGCAGGGTTACCCAGGAAGAGCTGGCTCACATGAGAAAAAGAAGCCACTGCCTCCCCAAAGAGAGTATTTTTTTATTATTGTCAGGAATAAATATGTGCGTATATGTATATGTACAGAAGCACCACTATATGTGAGCTAAGTCAATGCCAGCATCAACTGAAAAGTTAGAAACCTGCTGGTAGAAACACTGCATTTAAGGATATATTTATATCCTTTTATTAAATTCATATTAAACACAGAACAGCAAACTATCCCCATGGGAAGGAGAGATAGGAAAAATAGTACAAGGCCAATATGGCTCTAACAGGAACTTAAAGTGCAAACTTGGACAAATTGCTAGGGATGGGTACAGAAGAAGAGTGCAAGCATCTAGGGACAAAATTAGAAAGACTAAGGCACAACATGAATTATAGCTAGCAAGGGACAGAGAAGGCAATAAGACAGAGGTGGGCAAACTACGGCCCGCAGGCCACATCCGGTCCACGGGACCGTCCTGCCTGGCCCCTGAGCTCCCGGCCGGGGAGGCGTCCCCGGCCTCTCCCCTGCCGTTCCCCCGCAGCCTCAGGGTGCTGCGCCGCCAGCACTCTGGCCCGCCGCTCCTGCTGGGCAGCGTGGAGGCGTGGCTGGCTCCGGCCTGGTAAGGGGGCGGAGAGCGGGGGTCCCAAGGGGCAGTCAGGGGACAGGGGGCGGTTGGATGGGGTGGAGGTTCAGGGGTGGTGGTGGTCAGGGGACAGGGAACGGGGGCGGGGGGTTGGATAGGCGTGGGAATCCCAGGGGGCCTGTAATGGGGTGGGGGTGTGGATAGGGGTCGGGTCAGTCAGGGGACAGGGAGAAGGGGTGGGGGTCACGGGAGGGGGCGGTCAGGGGATAAGGAGCAGGGGGGTGGATGGGTCGTGGGTTCTGAGGGGGGGAATCGGGGGCGGGAAGTGGGAGGGGGCGAATAGGGGGTAGGGGCCAGGCTGTTTGGGGAGACACAGCCTTCCCTACCCAGCCCTCCATATAGTTTTGCAACCCCAATGTGGACCTTGGGCCAAAAAGTTTGCCCACCCCTGCAATAAGAGTTTATTTACAAACTTTAGTAACAAGAGAAAGACAAAGGACAGTGTAAGTCCTCTACTTAGCAGGGAAGGAGAGCTAATAATGGATGATATTAGGAAGGCCGAGTTGTTTAATGCTTATTTTGCTTCAATCTCCACTAAAAAGGTTAATTGTGATCAGATGCTTAACACAATTAATATTAACAACAAGGGGAAAGGAATGCAAGTCAAAAAAGAGAAAGAATGGGTTAAAGAATATTTAGATAAGTCAGATATATTCAATTCAGCAGAGCCTGATGAAATTCATTGTAGGGTACTGAAAGAACTAGCTTAAGCAATCTCGGAACCATTAGCGACGATCTTTGAGAACGCACGGAGGATGGGTGAGGTCCCAGAGGATTGGAGAAGGGCAAACAAAGTTCCCATCTTTAAAAAGGGGACTCGGCCAATTGTAGACTAGTTAGCCTAGCTCTGATACTTGGAAAGATACTGGAACAAATTATTAAACAATCCATTTGTATGCACCTCGAGAATAGGGTTATAACGAATAGCCAGCATGGATTTGTCAAGAACAAATCATGCCAAACGAGCCTAATTTCCTTCTTTGATAAAGTTCCTGGTCTAGTAGATGGGGGGTGAAGCTGTACACATGATATTTCCTAATTTTAGTAAGGCTTTTGATACAGCCCACATTATAGTCTCGTAAGCAAACTAGGGAAATGTGATCTACAGGAACTTACAATAAGGTGGGGACAACACTGATTGAAAGACCGTACTCAAAGAGCCGCTATCAATGGTTCGCTGTCAAACTGGGGGGAAAGCATCAGATATGGTCCTGGAGGGATCTGGTACTAGTCAACATTTTCATGAATGACTTGGATAATGAAGTGGACAGTATGTTATAAAATTTGCAGATGACACCGAGATGGAAGGGGAGGCTAGCACTTCGGAGGACAGGATTAGGATTCAAAATTACCTTGACAAATTGGAGAATTGGTCTGATGTCAACAAGATTAAATTCAATAAAGACAAGTGCAAAGTGCTACACTTAGGAAGATAAAATCAATGCACAACCACAAAACGGGGAATAACTGGCTAAATGGTAGTACTGCTGAAGAGAATCTGGGAGTTATACGGGATCACAAATTGAATACGAGTCAGCAATGTGATGCAGTTGTGAAAAAGGCTAATATCATTCTGGGGGGTACTAACAGAAGTGTCATATAGAAGACATGGGAGGTAACTGTCCTGCTCTGTTCAGCACTGGTGAGGCCTCAGCTATAGCACTGTGTCCAGTTCTGGGTGCCACACTTTAGGACAGAGGTGGCTAAACTGGAGAAGAGCAATAAAAATGATAAAAGGTTTAGAAAACCCAGCCTGTGAGGAAAGGTTAAAAAACTGGGCATGTTTAGTTTTGAAGACTGAGGTAGGACCTGGTAACAGGCTTTAAATATGCTAAGGGCTATTATGCTGAGGATGGTGATCAACTGTTGTCCATGTTCACTGAAGGCAGGACAAGAAGTAATGAGCTCCATCTGCAGCCAGGGAGATTTAGGGAAAACTTTCCTTTCTAACTACAGGGGTAGCTAAGCTCTGGAATAGGCTTTCAAGGGAGACTGTGGAATCCACATCTCCATCACTGGAGATTTTTAAGTACAGGTTGGAGAAACACCTGTCAGGGATGATCTGTGTTTATTTGGTCCTGCCTCTGCACAGGGGGCTGGACTGAATGACTTCTCCAGGTGTCTTCCAGCCCCACATTTCTATGATTTATGGTTCTGGAGTATTTATTTAAAAAGAAAGGCCCCAAACAGGTTAGCCACTAGGCAAATGCACGGAAATAGACAGCACCTGATCTAAAGATCTTACAATCTGAATATCAGGACAAAAGATGGAGGAAATTGCTGAGATGTCATCTCAGCAACAGACGGGTATGTATGTGTGGTCTCAAGAGTCTTGACACACTTTCAAAATGGCTGCAAACGTCACTTGAATTACATTCAACCTGAATTACACTTCTAAAAAACAACCACCAATAGGCTTACTCACACAGATGATATGACCCATAACAGGCCATTTTGGTCAAGAGATCTTATATATTCAGGGGTAAATTTTCCAAGGCGTGGTGAACTATGCACCCACAATTTAATTGCTGATGCAAAGCAGACTATTTGAGCAGCTGCAATCAGGTAGCTACAGCTCAGTGCCTGCACAACCAGGCTGGGTTACAGAGCAGCTGAATATGTAACCCTTAATGATTGCTTTGCGTGTTCAACAAGACAAAGATTCTTCTTTTGTTTTCTTTAAATTATTCTTCTCTGGTTCAGGTCTTAAGTTTTCTGGCAACAGAAATAGTTTTGATAAAGGTGATTTATGCTTGTCACCAGCTATTTTGAGAATATCAAGCCTTAGGCTGGTAGCTGGCTGACTTGAAACAGATATTTTTGAATGCCAGTCTCTTGTCAAAACCTCCTGGTTTCAACATGAGCCCTGACTGAATGAGTGGGAGAGAATGCGAGCAGCAGTTTAAAGTGTGGTTGTTTTGTGTCCTTTTCAATGGCCTGGGAGTAAGAAAAAAAACAAACATAAAAACCCCATCAGGCTAGAGTGCATGAAAATAATATTTAATTAAAGCAGCAGTTCACAGTACTAGAGATGCAATTACTAAAGAACATTTATAATGGAATTAGTGGAGCAACTTTTCAGAAGCTGTTCCATCAAGTACAGAGCAGTGGTGAAGAAATAAACAAAGCAAACAAATATGTCTAAGCTATAAAGGAGAACTTGTTCCATAGATTCCAAAGCCAGAGGGACCATTGTTGTCATCTAGTCTGACCTCCTCTATAACACTCCAGAAAACTTCCCCAAAATAATTCCTAGAGCAGATCTTTTTGAAAAACATCTGGTCTTGATTTAAATATGGTCAATGATGGAGAATGCACCATGACCCTTGATAAATTGTCTAATAGTTAATTATCCTCACTGTCAAAAATGTACATCATACTTCCAGTCCGAATTTGTCTAACTTCAACGTCCAATCATTGGATTGTGTTATACCTTGCTCTACTAGAAGTGAAGATCCCATTATTAAATATTTGTTCCCCATGTAGATACAGTACTTACAGACTGTAATCAAGTCACACCTTAACCTTTTTTTTGTTAAGCTACATAGATTAAAGTCTTTGCTTCTCACTGTAAGGCATGTTTTCTAATCCTTTATTCATTCTCATGGTTCTTTTCTGTACCTTCCTTAATTTATCTATTTCCTTCTTGAATTATGGGCACCAAAACTGAACACAGTATTCCAGCAGCGGTTGGATCAGTGCCAAATACAGAGATAAAATAATGACTCAATGCAAGTGTGAATTGCAAAGATGTAGATATTTCCATGCATGAGGTTGCTGGAAAAGGTTATTGTAGCACATTGGCTCTGTGCACTGAATCTTGAGAATAGGTATTCTATTAAAAATAAGCTTTTTAAAAATAATTTCCCTGATTTTCAAAGGTGCTGAGCACATATGTGTTCCCACTAACTTCCACAGAAAGCTGCGGTTGCTCAGTACCTCTGAAAATGAGGCCAAATTTACTTTATTTATATATTTTTAACAATTTGGGAAGGGCAGTAACACACTAAGTACATGGCTTGTACTAGTTTCCTCAACTTCTCAGATTGTTGGACGTTACTAGACCTTTGGCATCACATGCTGAGCACCAAGGGCAAAGCTATTGATTTTTGGTGTCATCAGAGCTCTGCAGGAATGATATAACCTTAACAGGTTTCAGAGGGGTAGCCTTGTTAGTCTGTATCAGCAAAAACAACAAGGATTCCTTATGGCACCCAGGTTTTAGCCCACGAAAGCTTATGCCCAAATAAATTTGCTAGTCTCTAATGTGCCACAAGGACTCCTCATAACCTTAACAGTTTCCCTGTATTGCAAAATATCTTGAAACATCTGAAAACATACTTGAGCAAAGGTCTGATTATCAGTGATGACCTGTTGTTTAGACACAATATTGACTGACATATGGAAATTAGACATATAGATAAAAAAACTGCTAAACGTATTTGCTAGAGAACCGTTTAATTAGACTATAAAGGGTCTGAAACTGACCACAAGACATCAATTATTCTTTATGAAGTCACTGAGTGACTGCCCTCTGCAGATTAAAATAATTATGATCAAGCTTCTGAGATGACCTGAAAGTATTCCACTTCTAGCAAAGCTACATCTACAGCTGGTGCACTGGGAAGAGCAATGGATGAGAGTATGAAAGAAAAAAACATAGGAAATAAGGCAGCATATGCTAGTTTGGTAATGATTACCTTACTAGCAGCTGATCAGAAGATTAAATTTATCACAAGCAAGACAGAGGAGACTTTTCAAATCCTTGGGACAATACTGAAGTGATAGCCACATGCAAATCTAGATTATTCAAGGTACGGCAGCTATAGAAATTAGCTAATGTTATAGGGCAGGGGGAAGGGCAATATATGAGGATTGCAAAATAATGATGCCCCAAAAACGCTCAAGGAAGAACTGCTGCAAAGGTTCAAACAGAACAGATAGACGGGGCTAGAGCAAAATGTTAAAATAAAACAGGCATGTGAGGTCATGTATTGTCCCAAAATAAACTCAGGACATTGTACAGATGGAAGCACATTGCACATCTGGTAAGAAAAATAGGCCAAGTCCTAAAGAGAGACTGACTTTACCCAGTGTGTTAGGAACTAAACCAAGTCTGCACTAGAAAAGAGCTACTAGTTACGGACTATTGTACCATACATAACATTAGCAGTGAGACTCGGACAAAAGCATGTCCACGCACTGGACATTTTAGCACTAATGAGCCAGTTTGTTAGTGCCAAAATGTAGACAATTTGCAATATAATAGGACTTTATCTATACAGCCTAGAATCCAAATTACCCATTGTTGAAAGGATCTGTGCAAACTGTTCAGAATACAACAAAGGGAGAATGACTGTGGGGACAGTATGTACCAGAACCACTAGCTTACTGCGCTGACCCAGCAGCGAATGGGCTAACACCTACCTCACTACTTAGCAAGATTAGCTTTCTCAGATATCAAGAATTATTTTGGGTGGTAACTAGTACGAACATTTTGCTCTGATTTTGCAAAGGAAAATAGCCTTTAGTTTTCAAGAATGCTATAGTAATAAATAATACATCTGATCAGAGTAACAGAGAGGTGAGCCCTTGCTGTTCTGTATTCACCGGAATATGGGAATTTGGGTTGGTCCCTAAGGCTGCTTATCAAATGTGGCTCCCAGATTGCTCATGCAAGTGTATTATTTAAGTAACATTCTAGTAAATGAACAGTGTTCTTTCAATTGGTTGTAATTACACAATGGACTCAGAATGGTTCTGTTCAGTCACATTTATGCAATTCTGGAATTTAGTTGTCAGAACCTGGTGGTCCATTTTCATACCTCATGCTGGAACTCTACCATGGATCTACTTGGATTTAGGACTGTGTTAGGGCTCAAGTGAGCTACACCAGCATAACAAAATTTAACCTAAGCAGACCTTAGGAGTTTGAGACTATTTAAAAAAGGATACTTATAAAGATAAAAAATACACTTCTGAATTTATATATCAGTTTGTATTAAAATGACCATTTTTCTTACACTTCTAATTATCAGAAATACAATATGGTACATAAGCAACATATTTAAAAAAAACAAGTCCTAAGTAATTCAAGATACACTGCAGCATTTCATATATTTACATAAGGGCTAAATGGATTCTCATCAAAACAATACAATTAATAACAGCTCTAACCCAAACAGTATTACAGTACTTGGCAAATTCCTACTACAGGATTTTTGCAAGAGAAACGCCTATGAGGTGGCATTACTATGTGCTCTCCTCTTAAATGTTTCTATCACATGGTCTGTCGTCTTCAGCTTTTCGGGGAATGATTTTGTTTTGGGTCCAGGCTGCGAGACAGAGAGAGATTAAAAAATTGTTCTTATACGGGACAATTTGTAGATTGCAATGTAAACCTTCTCATGCTCATGTGTTCATCACATCAGTATTATGCAATTTAAACCAAAGGGTAAACTTGCCAGGGTAGATTGCCCACATGTACCGGGGAGCAGTAACACCACATGGAGGGAGGTGCAGTGGGGCAAGTGTTGTCTAGGATGCCTGCATCTAGTTAGTGCAGCACACAAGATGGAAGGCTGGATGAGAGGAGGAGGCCTGGTTCGGTGTGTGGAAGCTGCTGCATATCCAGCACTTAAGAAAAATCAGGCCACTTATGATACCTCAATATGAATCTCAGAGCCAAACTTTAAGCACCCATTTTTTAATGATTCAGTTCAATCCTCGTAACAATGAGCTACTGATAGAGCTGGGTTAAACCACAGAATCATAAAAATATGGAGCTGGAAGGCACCTTGAGAATTCATCAAGTCCAGCCCCCTGTGGTGTGCCAGGACCTAGTAAACCTAGACAGACAGGTGTCTGTCCAACTTCTTCTTAAAACATCTGATGATGGGAACTCCACAACCTCTCTTAGATGCCTATACCAGAGCTTAATTTGTTAATTTCCCCCCTAATATCTAAACTAAACCCCCTGGCTGCCGATTAAGCCCATTACTTCTTGTCCTACCTTCAGTAGATACGGAGAACAATTGATCACCATCTGTTTCACAACAGCCCTTAACATATTTAAAGATTGTTATCAGGTCCCCCCTCAGTCTTCTTTTCTCAAGACTAAACATGCCTGCTTTTTTAATCGTTCCTCAAAGGCTGGGTTTTCTAGATTTATCATCATTTTTGTTGCTCTCCTCTCGACTCTCTCCCATTTGTCCACATCTTTCCTTAAGTGTGGCACAGAATTGGAAACAGTGCTCCGAGGCCTCACCAGTGCCGAACAGAGAGGGACAACTTCCTTCTGTGCCTTACACATGACACTCCTCACACAGCCTCACATAGCATTACCAATGCACTTTAATCCCAATGAGCTATACTCCTGTTTACTGCAGTGATGAAACTGTTTGTAGGAGAATGCCAGTCCCACTGCATTCTGCTAACTTGTCTGATGATTTGGTGACTTGCATAAATGCAGATTAGACCGAAGTCTGAAGGGCCTGGACATTGGGGCACTGCTTTATAAGATGATACTTGTGATTGTGCAGAGCCAAGGAAGTAGGACAAAGGGAGGTGAAGTATTTTAGAAATATTCCCTTCACTATTATCTACACTTCCTTTTCATGAACAGACTGCATGTGACCTTCAAGAGGAATCCCTTTCCCTGTTTCTTGACTCTCTTCTCACACTTCTGAGTAAGCTCTGTTCTTTTATGTCCTGGTTTCCCTTCCAGCCGCATTTGTTCTGAAAATTAGTACATGCTACTACAAGTTCTTTTCTCTGGAGTGTGACTAAGACCAGAGGTTAAGACAATCCCTGCATCACTCATCACCTCTCCTTATCTGACCAGTGTCACTATGCCAATTTTTCGTCATTAACACTGTAATTACTAATCTTATACACAGTACTTCTCTCCCTTGATGGTACTGTGTTTAAACCCTCTTGAACTCCTAGTTGATTACGTCTGCTGCCTCTCTCCTGTCAGCTCTCATTGTCATTTCCACAAGGAAGTTAATCAGATTTGTTATGCATGACCTACCCTTTATAATCCTTACTTACTGATCTAGGAAATCTGGTGCTGGATCCTCGTTTTTTAACCATCTGCTTGTTAATACAAATGAAATGTACTAGTTTCTTTTCCTTCCCTCACAGGGGAATGTCAGATATTATTTGTGAAACACCACAAGTATACATGGAGCTTTATGGTAACTAAGCAGTGATCAACAAGTCACAAAGAAATTATCTCGTTTCATCTGTGTGGACTGCCTAGTGAATATTAGGGATTTAAGTGAGCTGTGTAGGGTAGGTGGGTGTAGATCTGTAAAGAAGATTACCAATTACTGGTTCATAACCCTACCTTGGGATCCCCTCCGTACATCCTTGGGAGAACTAAAACCAGTGCTCCACAGTTAAAGGGTGGTGAGTGCAAAGATGCCACTTGTGACAACAAATTCAGAGGACTGCCAATCCCAAGCATTCAAAAATAATGAGTCAGGCCCCCCCATATTGAGACAACTGGTTTAAAAAATCTTGAGAGTTGAAAAATAATACATTTTGGGTTCTTTTTATTCTTTTGCCTTCTGGATTTTGAGCCTCTGGGGATCACATTTTCAGGCTTTTCTCTGCAACCATGAGGGCCAGAGATTTACTTAAAAAAAATGCTGAGAGTCTCAGGTAATCACATGACTCCAGGAGATGGATCTTTAAAACAAATTCCAAATATACTAAAAAATTCTAAGCACCACTTTACTAGAGTGAGCTCCCTGTGTGGTGTATCAAGACCATATTATTTCCTACCTGGTAAAAAGTAAAATGTAATACCTTGTGTTTACAGATGCTTAAAGCAAAGGTGTGGCCACATCCGTAAGAGAAAGACCATTGGGCCCTTCTGGACTAGGTATTTTCATAAGCAAATAACAGATGCTGCACAATTCTGTTTCAGATAGAGATATGGAGACCTTCAGATTCTATAAACGGAGTGTGATTTACAAAAAAGACCTCTCAGCTGCAGAGAAGGTAAATCATTGCTTCAGCAATGTCTTCCCCTACAGATGTAGAGGGTAACATTTTCAAAAGGGCCTAAGCAAAATAAATCTCATTTAACTTATAGAGGGACTAAGGCACTTTTGAAAATTCTACCCAGGTTCTATAAAAGGAGATTTACAATCAATGGGTTAATTAGGTATAGAATGCATTGGACAGAGCACAGGTTAATTAAGGTGATTGTCTTAGGCTGACCAAGTGGTTAAGAGAACCATAACTTTACGCAGTATGATAGGGGGTTTACTGCAAGAATCTACAGTTCACTAACTCGTTATGTAACCAGAAAAAGCCATGCACAGTCCATGCACCCAAGTGTAGGGAGAGGATGACTCTGCACTGCTGTATGCTTGCAGCTTTGAAATGTACAACGTTTTCAAAAGGTTCTCTAGGTAGAGCTTGCAGAAATTTCAAATTCTGTACCTGTTGATGTTTGTAGTGCCTTGCACATAGAAATAACAATAGTCAACTAAGGAATGAAGAGGCCAGAGTTCCCCTGAGGAGTTCAGGATGTACATACACTGAGAGCTTGAGCGCCTCTATGGAATTATAGTCATTTCACTTATGGTCCAAATTTGGCCCATTTTAATTCCATACATGGCTCCCTCCTTCTTTGGCAGCCCCTCCCAGTTTTCCCTGTGTTGTCATCTGCTCCCCAGGCTCCTGCTGTGTGCGCTTCCTCCCCTCCACGGTTTGTTGCTGCTTCCCTCCTGCTGTTCATTCAGTTGCAGCACTAGCTTTCACCTACTTCACTGTGGTCAGAACAGGGGACTAGAAATCAGGAGAGCTGGGTTCTGTTCCTGCCTCCAGCTGGGTATGTGATCTTGAATGAGTTACTTAACTTCCCTGTGCCTCGGTTTCCCATTCTGTGTAATGGGGTTTCTGCTTTGAGTTCTTTGGATCAATGCCATTAATATTACTGCTACCTTACTGACAGCTCTTCATTCACATTGCTGGGCCAGTTCAATCTCTTCATTCACGGGTGTTATGACACACAAATGAATTATTATTAGATGGGCTGAAGTCCATCTCTTATAAGTTAGGCAAAATGATTACACTGATCCTGTTACTATGAGCAAGTGTTCAGACATATGCATACCTTCCTGGCTCTGTCTTTTTGTGAACAGGTACGACATGGTGACAACTTTTCACTTCTCTTCTCCAGTTCCTCTAAATGGCTCTGGGTGAAAATACCAGTAAAATGACATCCAATTGCAAATCTTGCCTTAGACATCCTATCAAAAATACAGCTGAGACACATCAGAACTAAATAGGACTCCAAATCTGATAAGACCAACAAAGCGGACTGAGTTACTCACATTCCCCAAAGCCAACAGCAAGCTGCAATGAAAAAAGCACCTAACTGCTGGCAATTATTGTTTAATCTCAATACTTCCTTCAAACATGAATTGTCTTAACTTGTACCAATGTGCAATTCACTCTTCTAAGGGTCATTTTGATGAAGACCCAAAGCATCAACTAAATATGAAAGTCTGGATAAAACCACTTATCATATGGCCTTTTGGGGCTACAGAGCATTCTCCAAGCTCATGACACTACACAGACAGATTAGAGAAATCAAGGAAACAATAGCAAATGTACTGCTATTCTTGTCCTAAATCTCAGCCAGTTCTATTCTTGGTTACATACTAAGGTGACAGGCTCCTTGGGATCTTCCAAATCCTGTGCAAAGATAGACACACAGAGGCCCTTCCAGCTTACTACCTGTTTGTGATTAGCTCCCTTCCCACCTCCACGTACCCAAGTCAAAACTTGCAGGGTCTTGTTCTGTGGTGTTTGGATTGCAGGGTGACATCTCAGTGTTAACCCTGCAGCTATAATATAATCTTTCATCGGTGCCTGCCTCAGTGAGGATGTTTTCAAGCAGGACCTACCAAAAGTCAGCCCCCTAAATAATTAGGTTACTGCCCAACACACAGCTGCAGAAGAGGATGTTTAGGTACCAGGTTCATGGAAGCACTGCCATGACTTTTGTCCCTAGACCATTACCTTATGCAGTTTAACAGCTCTGTTCAACCTTTTCTCCTGATTCAGCTGGAACTGTGTCCTCTCTAGAGCCTCTTTTAGCAGAGCATTCTCTTCTGCTTCTCTATAGACATCATCTTCCAGTTTAGTTATCTCGGCCTGGTACGCTTGCAGAGAGACCTTATTCGCCCTGTACAAAACAGAAGAGGTAAAGTATTCTGGGCTTTATTCTCATCTACACTACAGCCTCTTGATACATCTCTGGCAGTGTAAGGGGCCTTAAAAAGAGAGGATAAATTACATTTACATCCACTTTAAGAGTATGTCTACACTATGAAGTTAGGTCAATTTTATAGAAGTTGATTTTTAGAAATCGATTTTATACAGTCGATTGCATATGTCCGCACTAAGCGCATAAAGTCGGTGGAGTGCGTCCTCACTACCGTGGCTAGCATCGACTTATGGAGCGGTGCACTGTGGGTAGCTATCCCACAGTTCCCGCAGTCTCTGCCACCCATTGGAATTCTGGGTTAAGCTCCCAATGCCTGATGGGGCAAAAACATTGTCGCAGGTGGTTTTGGGTACATGTTGTTAGTCACCCCTCCCTTCGTGAAAGCAATGGCAGACAATCGTTTCTCGCCTTTTTTCTGTGCAGGTGCCATACCATGGCAAGCATGGAGCCCGCTCAGCTCAGCTCACTGTCACCGCTGCTGTGGTGAGCATTGTAAACACCTCGCATATTATCCTGGAGTATATGCAGAACCGGGCTAAGAGACGTCAGCATGAGGAGGATTTTGATGAGGACATGGACACAGATGTTCCTGAAAGCACGAGCTGTGGCATTTGGGACATAGTGGCGGCAGTAGGGCTGGCTGATACAGTGGAATGCCAATTCTGGGCCCCGCAAACAAGCACAGACTGGTGGGACCGCATAGTGTTGCAGGTATGGGATGATTCACAGTGGCTGCAAAACTTTCGCGTGCGTAAGGCCACTTTCCTGGAACTCTGTGAGTTGCTTTCCCCCATCCTGAAGTGCAGGAATACCAAGATGAGAGCTGCCCTGATAGTTGAGAAGCGAGTGGTGATGGCCCTGTGGAAGCTTGCAACGCCTGACTGCTACCGGTCAGTCGGGAATCAATTTGGAGTGGGCAAGTCTACTATGGGGGCTGCTGTGATCCAGGTAGCCAGTGCAATCATTGACATTCTGTTATCAAGGGTAGTGACTCTGGGAAATGTGCAGGAAATCTGCAGCTCCAACAGATGCTTCATCATGTCCGTTTGCTCTCCCATTAGCCTCGCATTGCCTCCTGCCTCCACTCTTCACGCTCCTGCCTCCGCTCTTCGCGCTCACTTAATGCTTTCCTGGCCTCTAACACTGAATGCCTCCATGCATTAAGCTGTGCCCTATCAGTGCGGGAGGACTGCATGAACTCGGAAAACATGCCATCACGAGTGCATTTTTTTCGCTTTCTAATCTGCGATAACCTCAGAGACGGAAATGATAGGAGGAGCGTAGAAACATTTGCACCTGGCGGGGGAGATAAAAAGGGTGAGTAAAATTTAAGATGATACATTTCTGAGAACAAAAGAGATACTCTTTCACAGTGAATCAAGCAATTCACAGCAGACAGCACATGTGCTTTAGGTACAAGGTCGCATTTTACCTTTTATATTGAGTGCCTGTCGGTATGGTGACACATCACACATGGCTGGGCAACAGAATTCAGTTTCCAGGCAGCCATGGTAAGGCCCAGGGTACGCGGGGTTGGCTTCTTACGCATAACATGTGGGAATGGTTTCAAACTGCAGCACCACCCTTTCGCATAGTAAGCAATGGGTTGGGTTTCATATTTAAAAGGAGGGGCTGTGGTTTTCGGGTGGATATGCAGCACACACCTCCCTCCACCCTTTACCGCGTGGCTATTCTCTGGGATGATCCTTTCACCCCTCCCCCTGCTGTGTGGCTATTCTCCGGGATGATCCCTTTTAGCCAAGCGCAAACAGCCAAGCATGAACGGGGTCCTTTTACTATTCCCTTACAAAAATTCCCCTATTTCAACCAGGTGACCATGAATGATATCACTCTCCTGAGGCTAACACAGAAAGATATAGACTGAATGTTGCTTGAATGTGACCAAAACCCAGGACCATTCGCTGCCATGCTTTGTGCTGCAGTGATTCCAGACTACTTGCTACTGGCCTGGCGTGGTAAAGTGTCCTTATAGCACTTAAAATAAGGCAGCCCTCCCCAGAAACCTTCTGCAAAGTCTTTCAGAGTACCTCCAGGAGAGCTTCATGGAGATGTCCCTGGAAGATTCCCGCTCCATCCCCAGACATGTGAACAGACTTTTCCAGTAGCTGTACTGGCCGCAAATGCATCCCAATTCGTCGGAGCAAATCAAACATTAAACACTATTGCTTTTAAACCCTGTACTGTAGTTACAAATGTGCACTCACCAGAGCTGCCTTCTCCAGCTTCAGGGTCAGGGATCCCACCTTCGGAGGGTATTGGGTCCAGGGTGATGAAAAGGTCCTGGCTGCCGGGGAGAACGGATTCACCGCTTACCTGCTGCACATTCTCCTCCTCCTCCTCCTCATTCATAAAATCCTCCTCCTTATTGTGTGAGACTCCCCCCTTGCAGGTGTCCCCGGACAGTGGTGGGGTAGTAGTAGAATCCCCCCTAGAATGCCATGCAGCTGATCATAGAAGCAGCATGTATGGGGGGTCTGACCCAGAGCACCCATTTGCCTCCTTTGTCTTTTGGTAGGCTTGCCTCAGCTCCTTAACTTTCACGTGGCACTGCTGTGTGTCCCTGTTGTAGCGTCTCTCCATCATGCCCTGTGAGATTTTGGCAAATATATTGGCATTTCTTCTTTTTGCTCTGAGTTCTGCCTGCACAGATGCTTCTCCCCATACAGCAATCAGATCCAGTGTCTCCCTTTCGGTCCATGCTGGAGCTCGTTTGCAATTCTGCGGGGACTGCATGGTCACGGCCAATACCGTCATTTTGCGACTGCACTACCCCAAATTTGATCCAGCAAGGTCGATTTTAGCACTATTCCCCTCGCCAGGGAGGAGTACAGAAGTCGATTTTAAGAGCCCTTTAAGTCGACGGAACGGGGTTGGTTGTGTGGACGCATCCATTTTAAAATCGACCTAACGTGGCTAAATTCGACCTAACCTCGTAGTGTAGACCAGGGCTAAGGCTCCTTTACACTACCAGAGGCATGGAAAAGGCCTTAGTGTAAATGAGAAACAGGCCCCCTGTTTTTTCCTGTGAAATGCTGAAAATGTTTTAACAAGGATTTCCCACAAAAATTTCTCCTTAGTCCGTGATAAACCCCTCTCTTTAGGGTGCATGTTTCTGCTGAAAGAAGTGGCTCGTGATGGGGAATTTACTCATCCTATTGAAACAAAAATGCTTTCTCATAACCACAACCAAGCAAGGAGGTAGCATCAACCCACAGACCATACTGAGTGTGTTTATTAGGAATGTTTATACTTGATTTCTGCAAAGTACATGGAGTGTGAGGATAGCACAACACAGCATTCGGTGTGTATGATTGGGAACACTAGGTGAAGACTCAGTAGGGGCTCCTGGGAGTTCCTTCCTTAGGAATTATGTTGAAAACACCTGCACATTTGGGGCAATTTTGTACATTTCAAAGTACACAAAAATTCCTTTAAAAAGCATTTTAATGAGTCCCAGAGATAAATAGTTCTGTTAGGGAGACTTTACTATCCACAGGGATGGGGATTTCTTCACAGGCAGCGAAATAACCCCAACCTTCCCTTCAATTTCAAGGTGGAGTATTAACCAGAGATTCCAGAGAATCTCATCCAACACTCCACTGTTCTTTTTGGCTTCATTTTCCAAATGGTTTAGACATTTTTCTAGTACAAGACAAACACCACATGTGATGCATATGATTAAGCAGAATAACACCGCATTACTTGCCATGGATTCTTCAAAGAATCGTATAAATAATTAAAGACTATATAATTATTATATCTGTTACTAATAATAAATCTCGAACAGGAAAAACAGACAAGAGTAATGTTGCCGTAGAATAAAAGCAGCAGATGTCCCTCTGCTCATATTACAAACCTTTAGATATCATTTTCATCTGCAGGATCCTATTTTCAAATTTGAGTTTCTATGGTAGGTAGTTAAGTGACCAGCCCTAAACTTAGGATTTCAAATGGGCACTCAGATGCTTAAAATGAATGAATGCCTAAGTGCTGCTATAGGGGCTCAGAATGTGGATGTCCTATTAAAATATCCATTTTTGAAAACTGGGCATACAGTTTCCAGACATAGCCTGTAATGGACAATCCTAACAACACATAGGTATTTGGTACAATAATAGACATTGTGTCATCTTGTATGGTTAGTTTTTAAATAGAATTGCTCATTTATTTACTTGGCTAGCTCAGTAGTTCTCCAACTTTTGTACTGGTGACCCCTTTCACATAGCAAGCCTCTGAATGCGACCCCCCCTTATAAATTAAAAACACTTTTTTATATATTTTACACCATTATAAATGCTTGGAGGCAAAGCGGGGTTTGGGGTGGAGGCTGAGAGTTTGCGGCCCCCCCATGTAATAACCTTGCGACCCGCTGAGGGGGTCCTGACCCCCAGTTTGAGAATCCCTGGGTTAGCTTGATGTGGCCTTAGAAGATACCATTTTAGAGAGCTATGAAGTTCAAAAAGGGCATTTCCTAGCTACGCCAGCTTTATTTCCACGCAATAACATAGTGAATGTTTTTATAGAAACAAAAGTATCCTGTAATTAAAACTGAATTGTAAATATTCTCCTTCCACTAAATTTCTCACAATTTTTTGTCACCGTTTTGGGTCTTTTTGCTAAAACAGCTGGATCCACGGTCACTACTCTTAGTAAATAGTAAGTAAGTGTGTTTTCTCTACCTGAGTTGTCCAATGTCTGACTCATACTCTTTCAGTAGTTCTTCTTTCCTTTCTAGCCGACTCTTGAGTTTACTGATCTTATCGTATAGCAGCTCAAGGTCCTTCTGTCGCTCCATTCTCACTTTTTCTCTCTCATCCTGAGAAAGATGCTTAACAGACTGCACTCCTGTCAGCTCTTTCACATTCATCAGACTTCCAAGAGCATGAATTAAGTTTAGATACTGTATGAAGAGGAGAGAGTGAATTATTTACTAGGTGTGCTGACTCCTAATTAGAAAAATATCACACTGCTCAACCCATCGGCTTTCATTTTGCTTTAGTGTAAAGGATTAAAAGGTAGTACATAAACTACTGTGTGCAAGCCTCTTCATTTAAATTTAACCTATTTTTTTCCTTAGCCTCTTTGTGTGTTCCTAAGGAATCAAGCAGAACAATAATGTACCAAATAATTCATTCATAATGTATTAGACAAACTAATTTGACTATGAAGCAGTTAGGTGCAGAACTGGATCAGCATCCAATGGTTCTAAAGTCACTATTTCTTGGGTTGTCACAATGCCCACGTAATGGAGGCATAAGGACTCGAAACTAACTAGACGTTGGAGAAAGAAAAGGAGTACATGTGGCACCTTAGAGACTAACAAATTTATTTGAGCATAAGCTTTCGTGAGCTACAGCTCACTTCATCGGATGCATGCAGTGGAAAATACAGTAGGGGGATTCAGTGTTGTTCTCCAGGAAGTAGAACCAGGATGAAATGTCGCTATTGGGTTTAAAATAGGGAGATTTTATTTACAGCGCTTTGATGATGATCAGCACATTTTAAAAAAGAGGAGATAAATAACACACAGTAATTGGGACATAAATAGAGACAAGATGAGTCAGTGCACTGACTGTGTCCTAGGGCAGCGGTTCTCAGCAGTGGCTCACAAAGCCATTACTGGGGATATGCAGGATCAGGTTGAAACATTCTCAGACCCAAACTGTGGGGAAGCGGAGAGGTGTCACTCAGATAACCTCTTCTAAAGTGGAAAGATTGGAGAGTCTCTGACACAGGTGAAGCATTCAGATGATGGGCAGGCTATAAAGGCCTAGACTGATACATAAGATATATCAAAAACTCCTTCCACCTCAATACATCACAGGAGTTGAACCCATTGTTTTACTGGATTTTTGGTTCTGTCTTCCACTTCCAGTCAGTCAGAGGGATACCCAACCATTTATTCGCATACAGAACACTCAGGCCCCTGTGTCTCCTGAAGTTTAGGATCATAGAATATCAGAGTTGGAAGGGACCTCAGGAGGTCATCTAGTCCCACCCCCTGCTCACAGCAGGATCAATCCCCAATTTTTGGCCCAATCCCTAAATGGCCCCCTCAAGGATTGAACTCACAACCCTGGGTTTAGCAGGCCAATGCTCAAACCACTGAGCTATCCTTCCCCCTTCTCTATATACACAGCCCTTCTTATATCATGCAACGCACAGGCAACAACAGGCTTGGTAATGTTTGATGGAAACACCCTGCCCTGTTAGTAATTTTTGATTCTGATGGAAAAGTATTTAGTGTGTTTTGCTGTTTCACTAATACGCGTGGCTCATAATCCCATTCTGCTACAAGGCAGGCGGCAGTAGAGACAGAAGAGCAGTTCAGAGGTAGGAACCCTAGGAGCAGCTCAGTTGGGGAGAGGGCTTGAACTAAACATTGCTAAATTGCCAAACCTCAGAAAGGGGCTAAGTGTTTGGCTTTACACAGTGTGTGGTCTGTGTTTTAGAGAAGGTTAAGAATGGCACTTTCTCCCAACACATTTAAATACATTTTAAAAATCCCTATGTCTCAGGCTATTTATTCCTACATATCCTCTCTTCTTTTAAGGCAAAGCATACTCCAGCGCATATCCACGACAGTTCTAAGCTGTCATGCCATTGAAGGGGCCCATTTGCTGGAGGGCAGTCTGGCTCCATAAATCATTTGGGCTTTATTTTAATGCCATGCTAAGGAGACATTCAAAGATCTAAGGTCTTTTAAGGGAACATTTTTTTGGAGGTTAAAATTGAAGGGAAAGGAAACACATGCCATTGGGAGCTGCTCAGACTGTATATTTCCCAGGCAGCTAACAGAGGTTTTGAAGTTCCTGCAGATATGAATTCATACTCTAAGAAATACATGAGATTCCCAGGGTACCTGGAAGCTGATCACTAAATTCTGAAACTGACTTTAACAGGATCCACAATATACAGTTCCTGAATGTGATTGTACCTTGTCTTTTATTTACATACCATCTTCTCGCTGAGGTCTAAAGCGTCAGACATTTCCAACTTTGCTGTCCTCTCTAAGGCTACATTTGAATATGTGTTGGGAAAATGGCTTGGAAGCTGAAATAGATAGAGTAATGGATCGCCTTACTACTTGTAGACCAAATCCTGTTCTCCCTCCCGCAGAAAACAAACAAACAAAACAACCACAACAACCCAAAGCTGTGGTGAAAAAACACCCACCCTTGTCAAAGCATGTCACTTCTGGCTGTCAGAAGGCCTATTATGTTGTGCAAAGTAAAGCATTGGGTCTAAACAAAGGGTCTGTCAGCAAGTATCTGATAAAACACTAGATTACATGTTAAACACACTTGATTTCTGGTTAACCATGCCTCTTTCCTCTCTTACCCACCCTCAAAGGGGCACCACCTTCCCATGAAGCTTTCTACCTGCTTTTAATTAGGGTTCACCTCTTGCTCAGTGCCCAGTGATTACTGGCGGTATGTGTACTGTTTATTTTTCCTGCTAGCACACTCTTGTCTTTAGCTAGAGCTTGCCCATATTACCATTGACTTTTTAAGGCAGAAAATGATTTAAAAAACTATAAATCTGAGCATCAAAACATTCACTTCAACTTAAAAGCCACTTGATTCCACCAGTTGGCCTCCTTGTTTTTTTACAGTCATTCACACTATCAGAGCAGTTCCTTTATTGTTCTCCATATACATTTTGCTGCCTTTTTACATGGTTCACAGCCTAAAGGCAGCTAGAAAGATGGATCCAGAGAGGATGTACGGGCAGTGGGGCCAGATCCTCTGCTGGTATAAATCAGCACTGTTCTACTGAAGTGAAAAACATTGAGAACTGGGTGTCTGAATCTCCTATGCAGCTTTGAAGATCTCAGCCTAAAAGTGTTAACTCAACATTCATTGTGTAATGCTGAGTTAAAGGAGAGAGATATTGGAAAAGTTCTATGTAGATATAGTTACAGGAAGTCACTTTTTGTAAAGACAGATGACTTCAGGAACTGTACTAAAAAGTCAAAGGTATTAAGGAATATTTATCTGTAGTTTTCTTATTGCACCTTAAAGACGTTCCTACGTATTCTAATGAAACCACAACTAAAATAATATATAAAATTCTGTTTACCTTGGCCTCCATTTTTTTTATTGATGATGGCACACGTTCCTTTTCTAAGCCTATTTTCTGAGCTATTTTCTCAGATAGGTCTTTCTTTAGCACTATAAGTGGCTCAGGAACCTTCTCTTTAACAGCTAAGGGAACAAGAAAACCCCCCACACAGAGTTGTTACGTTGTCACATGTAATGGGTTTACTAAAAGCACACTGTTTTAATAATAGATCTCAAAATTTCCTGAAGAAATTTTCCTGTAAAAATATAAATATAAAACGGGTAACACATGGAATGTATTTCTCATAAAATCAGGAACAGAACCCACAATAAATCTAGTAATCAGACAATGTACTCAAGGTTTGAAATCTAGGGATTGCACTGGAAATTACTATTCTAATCCTGGAAGTTTATGGGGGTTATACCTATCTTCAATATTTTCCTGAAGATATATAAATTGTGGACAGAGAATGGGGCTACTTCTATACTGGGAGCTAGGGGTGTGATTCCCAGCTCGCATAGACATACTCACACAAGCTCTGATCTAGCTAGCGAACCACATATGACAGTGTTGCCGGGTACCACAGCCAGCAGTGGCACAAGCTTGCAGTGTTAAGTGTGTACCCAGGGGGTTCAGGCACATTTGTACTCAGCGTGGGCTAGCCATGCTGCTACACTACTATTTTTAGCGGGTTAGCTCGATGAAAGCCAACGTGAGTATGTCAACACGAGCTGGGAATCCCTTTGCCCAGCTTCAGATATAGGCATACCTGGAGCGAGAATAATTAAAGAAGTTAAATTAAAACAGGAAAGGAACCTTACTGCAAAAACACACGTAATTTACTGTATTAATACTTCTCGCAGAGCCAAGTTCGTTGCTGGTATAAGCAGGCATAACTATTGACTTAAGTGGCATTGTGCCTGCTTATATCAGGAGTAGACGTGGCCCATGATATTTCGATGTCTAGTCAGAACTCTGCTCAGTATCTGAATCTTAGAATATAGTAAACAGAGCTGAAAGGGTTGTTCTTGCGGATTCATTTTGCTAACCTCTGAGCAGAATAGAGCCCCTTCATACGTATATACCCGTACACACTTGACTGTCTTTGAATGATACACGGTATGCACCTATTATCATTTAACTGTGGGCCTGGTTTTGCAGAAGTGTAAATCCATTCAACTCCATCGAGTCACACTGGTGAAAGCAAGAGCAGGGTTTGGCCCTGTAAGGGCAATGGCTGCACAGTGTAGGGTAGTTGGCTTTCCTAGGTTTAAACGTTCTACTGGTTCAGGCCCCACTCATGCAAAGACTTACACGCATGCTTAACTTTAAGCATCTCAGTGAGGAGTGGCCAACCTGAGCCTGAGAAGGAGCCAGAATTTACCAATGTACATGGCCAAAGAGCCACAGTAATAGGTCAGCAGCCTCCCCGTCTGCTCCCCCCATCCCACCCCTAGTGCCTCCTGCCCGCCGGTAGCCCCGCCAATCAGCGCTTCCCTCTCCCTCCCCATGCCTCCTGCCCACCATAATCAGTTGTTCCACAGCATGAAAGAGGCTCCGGGGGGGGGGGGGGAGGCTCTGGGGAAGGGGTGGAGTGGGGGTCAGGACCTGGGGCAGAGCCAGGGGTTGAGCAGTGAGCACCACTGACACATTGGAAAGTTGGCGTCTTTAGCTCCTGCCCCGGAGTCGGCACCTATGCAAGGAGCCGCATATTAACTTCTGAAGAGCCGCATGAGGCTCCGGAGCCACAGGCTGGCCACCCCTGATCTAAGTATTCCTATTTTCTTGCATGGGACTACTCATGTGCTCAATATTAAGCACGTGGGTAAGTCTTAGAAGGACTGGGGCCCTAGTCATGATATACTATGAAAATTTAGCAATCCCAACATCACAAATTTGATCTTTCACTGTTGTACAAGAGCCCAGTATCCCTTTCAATTATATTCACTCTACACAATTACCGAAAAATGTTCTAGCAGAAGAACTGTGTCCTGGACTTACTTAAAGGCTGAGTCTTTTCCAGCGTCTTGATTCTGTCTCGGAGCTCAGTCAGTGCATCTTTTTGGCGCTGAATTATCTCCTCATGTCTGAGACCTTTACACTTAGCTCCTAGGTCAGCCAAGTCCAAATTCTGCTTCTGAAATCAGAAACCCATCCAAACCATCCTTGATTATATTACAAATTACTGTGCTCTGCACAAACGAGCACCATGTAACTCTTGAATAACTGCCATATCATAACCTTGGTTCAACGTAAACCCATACATGCAGGTGCTTGGGCCCTAAAATTCTGCAGCTTTCCTTAAAACTATTACCCCACTTGCAGTATTTGTGATTCTGATCTCACCAGCTAGAAGTCATATGCTAGTCATCTTAGGTGTTTTGAGAATCAAATTCTGGTTGGTGTGAGAAAAGTAGCTCTCTCCATTGGTTTTAGAGATAAGGAATTAAAACAGGAGTAGTCAGCTGGCTAGCAGTGCCTATGTAACACACTGGAGAATATATGTTATAGGTCCCCCGCTGCATCAATCCACAAAGGACAGGAGTTGTCCTAGCTGCAAAGCTTTGGCTCTTCAGTTCAAGCTGTGGCCGCTCATGCTTTTTAGCTCTGGAGGTCTCTGGTTCAGCCTCTGCTGTGTCAGCCAAGATGGCGGCCGACGCACCTCGATGCAGCTTATTCGGCATTGGTCTCAACGTATAAACTGAATGTAAAGTCAGCTTTTTCAACCCCTTTCAACAGAGGTTTAAATTAAGGCACTGCTCTCTTCAATTATTTCCGTCCCTGCCTTCTCAAGAAACTGCATCTCACATTGATGTGTTTGTTGTTTCCAAAGCAATTCACTGTGTACGCCACATCTGAAGGTGAGCTTATAAATTATGCCCCATTTGTTTTTTAAAAATATATATAAATTATGCATTTCAGTATTCCACCACTGTCCAGTGACTGGCTTTATGATTAATATACATAGATATCTATGTAAGCATGTTCATTCAAACTGCATCCAGCTAATGATAAATGGACGACACTATCTAGGGTCTCAACGCTTATTTTCATTGTATTGTTTAAAATCACCTCATTTATAAGATAAATATACAGCTGCAAACTTCCCCACCTTACGTGTATGGAAGAAGTGGCTGGTGATAATTCTCAGTGCAACACCCAGCCACGATTCACCACTTTGGCTGTATAAATCAAGTCAGTTGGTCTTGCATTTTGCCTGTCATTATTACAGAGGATTTTCATAAAGTCATTAATTAAAAAACCTCTTTCTGCCATTACATCCTTTTTGAATCTGTTTGTATTTTTGACAGTAATATATACAGCATTTCAATACAAAGCAGGAAACCTGCACATTTTCCCCTTTTCTTATTCACAAAAACATCCTATACTGTACATTAGACCCTATCTGCCTAGGAAAGAATAGGAATGGGCTGTGGGAGAGCTAGAGTATGGTATCTTTTTTCAAGCTGCTTTACACAATCTAATTGGCAATTAAAACAATACTTAGCACTTTCCACATTTCACATTTGCAAAACAGCTGTACAAACATTAGCTAAGTAATCATCACAAAATGTAAGAACTGTTATCCTGAATTTGCAGAAGGGGAAATGAGAAAGATTAAGGCCAAAATATTTCAAAAGTTGCTAGTGATTTTGATGAAGTGGGTTTTACCCCACGAAAGCTTATGCCGAAACAAATTTGTTAGTCTCTAAGGTGCCACAGGGACCCCTCGTTTTTGCTGATACAGACTAACACGGCTACCACTCTGAAACTAGTGATTTTGAGTACTTCAGTTTTTGAGTATCTGACCGGGGACACCTTGGGCCTGGACTTTCCCAAGTACAGAGCATTGACAGAAACCACTGGTGCTCAGCAACCCTGGAAATCAGGCCACTTTTGAGAATTTCAGAGTAAGCGATTTGCCCAGGGCCAGCATGTCAGTGGCAGAATTGGCAGAACTGGGTAGAAATCTCAAATTTCTGACTCTCAGTCCTGGGCTTAGCCCATTAGAGAATGTTGGTTGTCTAACAGTGAATGTACTTCTATGACAAAGCCAAGTAAACAAACTCTTGTTCAAGAACTTTAAAGCTACTTTACTTTAAAATATTTTATCATTTTCTTCTTACTACTGTTATGGTCAATAAAGCCATCCATCATAAATCCCACTTCTACATCAATATCACATTTATTGGTATTGTGGTAGCACCCAAAGGCCCCAATCAAATTCAGCATCTTTTTGTGTTACAAATTGTACAAACACATAGAAAGAAACAATCCTTGTCCTGAAAAATGTGTACTCTAATTTAGGACAAGATGCAGCAAAAGAGGTTAAAGAACAGAAGAGGCAGGGGTGGGGGAAGTGAAGGAATGACAAGGGTAGCAATAGTCAGATTATACAATGGCCTAGGATAGTTAGGTGCACAACCTGATGGTGCATAACATACATAGCACACAGCTACACAGTAAAACCATTACCACTACAAAAATATATACCAGGAAAGCCTGCTGGAAAGCACTAGACTCATCAAGGCAGTGAGTAACCAATTTTTTCCATTGCTCTGGTCTGAGACTAAAGATGTTGCTCCCTGGCCCAATCCACCTAAAGGCAGGAAGTAAATACAACCCTCCACCTAGGGTGACCAGACAAAAAGTGTGAAAAATCAGGACAGGGGGTGGGGAGTAATAGGAGCCTATATAAGAAAAAGACCCCAAAATCAGGACTGTCCCTATAAAATCGGGACATCTGGTCACCCCTACCTCCACCTCCTTCCCTCACAGCTGCCTACAGCACCAGATCTAGCAGTGAAAATTTCAAATATATGCCAGAAAGCAATGGATCCAGCAGCCTGATTCTCATCTCACCACTGTACAGGTTTACACCACTGTAACTCCACTGACTTCAACTGGTGTACTCTGATGTAAGTGTACTTGGTGTAAGTGAGATCAGAATCAGGAGCAGTGTCTGATTAAAGAGCAGCCCTTAGTGAAACAAACATCTCAGATCAAAAGGAAAATGGAAAATGTTATGAAATATTGTGGCTCCTTTCTCTCTCTTCCTTTTGATCTCTGGATATTGCTTCTCATAGGTTGTTGACCAGGCCTTGCCCATTCAGTTTGATTCTGTTACTGCATCAAGGACATATTGCTCTAGGTTTTCTTTATTTAACAATTGTTTATTCTTTATTATTCAGTTTAGTCTATTGCATCCTCAGTTTTTTGGCTTGTTTTGATTTGGACTTGCCTTTTTGGTTTTGGGGACTTCATCCTTTGTGGTGTTACTGGCCTGCACATCTGTTTGTGGTAGCTTTTCAAACTCACTCTCCTTTTCTTTTGCTGCATTCTTCAGCTTTTTCAGTTTTTCTTTCGCATGCCTATGTCAAGAGCAGAAAATATTGCTGAAGAGGATGATGGGTGAAGGTGAATAATCAGTTTGCTGAAAACAGCAACTATTAAAGCATACAAATGCACAGACAGGAATAGATAACTAGCTGTGATTAAACTCCAACTCAATTTGCAATGGCTCTTCCAAATCCCTGTAGAAGATTGTTTGAGATTTCTGCAGAGGAAAGTAAAAATTTACATTTTAAAATGTTTCCAAGGGAAGTAGTTATCTAAATGAAATACTGATTTGACTTATGAAGTCAGTGGGTTTTTTTTGCTGGGCTGGGTAGCTCAGCCTCTGCTATTCTTTATGTTGAGGTGGCTTATACCTTAATTCTTCAGCTGAAGTTCTCAGGTCTTTATCCTTCTTGTCCACAAGGTCTGACATCTCAAATAGCTTCTCTCTAAGCTCATTCAGTTCACTCTCTTGGCTTCTAACAAGAATTAGGTTCCGCTCCAGTTCCATCTTTTGTTTCTCACTGAGTTCTCCTGCATGGAGAGAGGTTTCAGTGGTTATTGGCTACCTTGGTGCCTGATGCTGCCAGATGCTAGGTGCCTTCAATTCTATTAGGATCAGGGCCTTGGAGAATGCCTCTCTTCCCCATGCAATATCATGATGGCTGAGATCAATGAAGGTGCTTTTTCCGACAGTCCATAGCTGTGTACACCCAAGGACCTCCGCTGTAGAACTCACTCACTCTGGCAGTCCATTAGAGCTTGAGTTTACTGCCCCTCAGAACTCAGAGCAAGGCACAACTTTTCACTTCAGCAGTTGTGTCTATATCATTGCTAGTGCAGTTTATCTTCTGGGTTGGAAAAGGACTGGGATGAGATAGGCTGTATTGTTTATTGTGGACAATTTAAATGAATATCCTGTTTGTAATGTAGGTACATGCACCCATATTCCATGGCTACCAGCACACTAAATAAATCAGATACACACATTTCTAGTTTTAAAACTATTCTTTCAGACTCTGTTCCACAATATTCCTTCCTTCCTATGCAGAGGACAATATTTAAGCCCCTAAAGGATAAAGCATTTAAGAATTCTGGCCAAAGTTTTCATTAGTGTCTAGTGATTTTGGATGTCCAACTTGAGACCTCTTAAAGGGGCGTGACTTTCAGAAGATGGACGTCCAGCACTTTCTGAAAACCAGGCCCCCTCAAGGTGTCGCAAGTTGGGCATCCAAAAATAGAGGCATCCAAAATCACTAGCTACTTTTGAAAATCTTAGGGTATGTCTACACTACGGAATAAGGTCGAATTTATAGAAGTCGGTTTTTTAGAAATCGGTTTTATATATTCGAGTGTGTGTGTCCCCACAGAAAATGCTCTAAGTGCATTAAGTGCATTAACTCGGCGGAGCGCTTCCACAGTACCGAGGCTAGAGTCGACTTCCAGAGCGTTGCACTGTGGGTAGCTATCCCACAGTTCCCGCAGTCTCCGCTGCCCATTGGAATTCTGGGTTGAGATCCCAATGCCTGATGGGGCTAAAACATTGTCGCGGGTGGTTCTGGGTACATATCGTCAGGCCCCCCGTTCCCTCCCTCCCTCCGTGAAAGCAAGGGCAGACAATCGTTTCGCGCCTTTTTTCCTGAGTTACCTGTGCAGACGCCATACCACGGCAAGCATGGAGCCCGCTCAGGTAACCGTCACCCTATGTCTCCTGGGTGCTGGCAGACGAGGTACGGCTTTGCTGCACAGTAGCAGCAACCCATTGCCTTCTGGCAGCAGACGGTGCAATACGACTGGTAGTCGTCCTCGTCGTGTCCGAGGTGCTCCTGGCCACGTCGGCTGGGAGCGCCTGGGCAGACATGGGCGCAGGGACTAAATTTGGAGTGACTTGACCAGGTCATTCTCTTTAGTCCTGCAGTCAGTCCTATTGAACCGTCTTATGGTGAGCGGGCAGGCGATACGGACTGCTAGCAGTCGTACTGTACCATCTTCTGCCAGGCAGGCAAGAGATGAGGATTGCTAGCAGTCGTATTGTACCATCTTCTGCCAGGCAGGCAAGAGATGAAGATGGCTAGCAGTCGTACTGTACCATCTTCTGCCGAGCAGCCATGAGATGTGGATGGCATGCAGTCCTTCTGCACCGTCTGCTGCCAGCCAAAGATGTAAAAGATAGATGGAGTGGCTCAGAACAAGAAATAGACCAGATTTGTTATGTACTCATTTGCCTCCTCCCCTGTCTAGGGGACTCATTCCTCTAGATCACACTGCAGTCACTCACAGAGAAGGTGCAGCGAGGTAAATCTAGCTATGTATCAATCAGAGGCCAGGCTAACCTCCTTGTTCCAATCAGAACGATAACTTAGGTGCACCATTTCTTATTGGAACCCTCCGTGCAGTCCTGCCTGAAATACTCCTTGATGTACAGGCACCCCCTTTGTTAATTTTAGCTCCCTGAAGCCAACCCTGTAAGCCGTGTCGTCAGTCGCCCCTCCCTCCATCAGAGCAACGGCAGACAATCGTTCCACGCCTTTTTTCTGTGCGGACGCCATACCAAGGCAAGCATGGAGGCCGCTCAGCTCACTTTGGCAATTAGGAGCACATTAAACACCACACGCATTATCCAGCAGTATATGCAGCACCAGAACCTGGCAAAGCGATACCGGGCGAGGAGGCGACGTCAGCGCGGTCACGTGAGTGATCAGGACATGGACACAGATTTCTCTGAAAGCATGGGCCCTGCCAATGCATGCATCATGGTGCTAATGGGGCAGGTTCATGCTGTGGAACGCCGATTCTGGGCTCGGGAAACAAGCACAGACTGGTGGGACCGCATAGTGTTGCAGGTCTGGGACAATTCCCAGTGGCTGCAAAACTTTCACATGCGTAAGGGCACTTTCATGGAACTTTGTGACTTGCTTTCCCCTGCCCTGAGGCGCATGAATACCAAGATGAGAGCAGCCCTCACAGTTGAGAAGCGAGTGGCGATAGCCCTGTGGAAGCTTGCAACGCCAGACAGCTACCGGTCAGTTGGGAATCAATTTGGAGTGGGCAAATCTACTGTGGGGGCTGCTGTGATGCAAGTAGCCCACGCAATCAAAGATCTGCTGATATCAAGGGTAGTGACCCTGGGAAATGTGCAGGTCATAGTGGATGGCTTTGCTGCAATGGGATTCCCTAACTGTGGTGGGGCTATAGACGGAACCCATATCCCTATCTTGGCACCGGAGCACCAAGCCGCCGAGTACATAAACCGCAAGGGGTACTTTTCGATAGTGCTGCAAGCTCTGGTGGATCACAAGGGACGTTTCACCAACATCAACGTGGGATGGCCGGGAAAGGTGCATGATGCTCGCATCTTCAGGAACTCTGGTCTGTTTCAAAAGCTGCAGGAAGGGACTTTATTCCCAGACCAGAAAATAACTGTTGGGGATGTTGAAATGCCTATATGTATCCTTGGGGACCCAGCCTACCCCTTAATGCCATGGCTCATGAAGCCGTACACAGGCAGCCTGGACAGTAGTCAGGAGCTGTTCAACTACAGGCTGAGCAAGTGCAGAATGGTGGTAGAATGTGCATTTGGACGTTTAAAGGCGCGCTGGCGCAGTTTACTGACTCACTTAGACCTCAGCGAAACCAATATTCCCACTGTTATTACTGCTTGCTGTGTGCTCCACAATATCTGTGAGAGTAAGGGGGAGACGTTTATGGCGGGGTGGGACATTGAGGCAAATCGCCTGGCTGCTGGTTACGCGCAGCCAGACACCAGGGCAGTTAGAAGAGCACAGGAGGGCGCGGTACGCATCAGAGAAGCTTTGAAAACCAGTTTCATGACTGGCCAGGCTACGGTGTGAAAGTTCTGTTTGTTTCTCCTTGATGAAACCCCCCGCCCCTTGGTTCACTCTACTTCCCTGTAAGCTAACCACCCGCCCCTCCTCCCTTCAATCACCGCTTGCAGAGGCAATAAAGTCATTGTTGCTTCACATTCATGCATTCTTTATTCATTCATCACACAAATAGGGGGATGACTACCAAGGTAGCCCAGGAGGGGTGGTGGAGGAGGGAAGGAAAATGCCACACAGCACTTTAAGCACAGCACTTTAAAAGTTTACAACTTTAAAATTTATTGAATGACAGCCTTCTTTTTTTTGGGCAATCCTCTGTGGCGGAGTGGCTGGTTGGCCGGAGGCCCCCCCACCGCGTTCTTGGGCGTCTGGGTGTGGAGGCTATGGAACTTGGGGAGGAGGGCGGTTGGTTACAGAGGGGCTGCAGTGGCAGTCTGTGCTCCAGCTGCCTTTGCTGCAGCTCAACCATACACTGGAGCATACTGGTTTGGTCCTGCAGCAGCCTCAGCATTGAATCCTGCCTCCTCTCATCACGCTGCCGCCACATTTGAGCTTCAGCCCTGTCTTCAGCCCGCCACTTACTCTCTTCAGCCCGCCACTTACTCTCTTCAGCCCGCCACCTCTCCTTCCGGTCATTTTGTGCTTTCCTGCACTCTGACATTATTTGCCTCCACGCATTCGTCTGTGCTCTGTCAGTGTGGGAGGACAGCATGAGCTCGGAGAACATTTCATCGCGAGTGCGTTTTTTTTCTTTCTAAGCTTCACTAGCCTCTGGGAAGGAGAAGATCCTGTGATCATTGAAACACATGCAGCTGGTGGAGAAAAAAAAAAGGGACAGCGGTATTTAAAAAGACACATTTTATAAAACAGTGGCTACACTCTTTCAGGGTAAACCTTGCTGTTAACGTTACATACATAGCACATGTGCTTTCGTTACAAGGTCGCATTTTGCCTCCTCCCACCTCGTGACTACCCCCTCAACCTTCCCCCCTCCCTGTGGCTAACAGCGGGGAACATTTCTGTTTAGCCACAGGCAAACAGCCCAGCAGGAATGGGCTCCTCTGAGTGTCCCCTGAAGAAAAGCACTCTATTTCAACCACGTGACCATGAATTATATCTCACTCTCCTGAGGATAACACAGAGAGATAAAGAACGGATGTTGTTTGAATGCCAGCAAACATACACTGCAATGCTTTGTTCTACAATGATTCCCGAGTACGTGTTACTGGCCTGGAGTGGTAAAGTGTCCTACCATGAAGGACGCAATAAGGCTGCCCTCCCCAGAAACCTTTTGCAAAGGCTTTAGGACTACATCTAGGAGAACCGCAAATGCCAGGGCAAAGTAATCCTTTCACATGCTTGCTTTTAAACCATGTATAGTATTTTAAACGGTACACTCACCAGAGGTCCCTTCTCCGCCTGCTGGGTCCAGGAGGCAGCCTTGGGTGGGTTCGGGGGGTACTGGCTCCAGGTCTAGGGTGAGAAACAGTTCCTGGCTGTCGGGAAAACCGGTTTCTCCGCTTGCTTGCTGTGAGCTATCTACAACCTCCTCCTCATCATCATCTTCTTCGTCCCCAAAACCTACTTCCATATTGCCTCCATCTCCATTGAAGGAGTCAAACAACACGGCTGGGGTAGTGGTGGCTGAACCCCCTAAAATGGCATGCAACTCATCATAGAAGCGGCATGTTTGGGGCTCTGACCCAGAGCGGCTGTTCGCCTCTCTGGTTTTCTGGTAGGCTTGCCTCAGCTCCTTCAGTTTCACGCGGCACTGCTTCGGGTCCCTGTTATGGCCTCTGTCCTTCATGCCCTGGGAGATTTTCACAAAGGTTTTGGCATTTCGAAAACTGGAACGGAGTTCTGATAGCACGGATTCCTCTCCCCAAACAGCGATCAGATCCCGTACCTCCCGTTCGGTCCATGCTGGAGCTCTTTTGCGATTCTGGGACTCCATCATGGTCACCTGTGCTGATGAGCTCTGCATGGTCACCTGCAGCTTGCCACGCTGGCCAAACAGGAAATGAGATTCAAAAGTTCGCGGTTCTTTTCCTGTCTACCTGGCCAGTGCATCTGAGTTGAGAGTGCTGTCCAGAGCGGTCATAATGGAGCACTCTGGGATAGCTCCCGGAGGCCAATACCATCGAATTGTGTCCACAGTACCCCAAATTTGAGCCGGCAACGTCGATTTAAGCGCTAATCCACTTGTCAGGGGTGGAGTAAGGAAATCGATTTTAAGAGCCCTTTAAGTCGAAATAAAGGGCTTCATTGTGTGGACGGGTGCAGGTTTACATCGATTTAACGCTGCTAAATTCGACCTAAAGTCCTAGTGTAGACCAGGGCTAAGTCTCTTTTTGCTAAGTCCAAAGTGGAATCTACCCAGCCAAAGAGAACAGACAATTTTGCTTTTGCCTAAACCTCAATGAAAATGTTCCAGTGAGAAAGTAATATCCATTTTCACTATCTTGTGTCTCCTTCCATTAACACCTATTCTCTAAATATGTTTTGGGGGAAGTCATGGCAGTACTGTAAATCACATGATACATTTCACAAACCTATCATATCCGACATTCTGGCTTTGGCTTCTGAGAGGTCTTTCTTTAATCCCAAAATGATAGCCTGTTTGGACAGGATTTCCTTCCGAGCAGCTGCTAATTCTCCTCTGAAATTCATGAGACAGATAATTGCAAAACCCAATTTCATTTGAAAGATTAATATTACTTAACGTGTACATGTCATGTAGGGTAAGATCATATAAGTAATACACACACCTTATTTTAAAAATACGATTTTAAATCCCCTAAACCCAGGCATGTAGCGTTAGGTATTACTGTCTCTTTCACTGCTTAATTCAAGCCAACATGCCTAGATGTTGCAGAATGGATGACAGATAAAATGACACGATATTTTGCATCAGAACCACTCCAATCAAGATGGAACACTATATAGCATAGTCTCAGCTGGATGCAGCTCCCCAGTGAAGATAAGAGCAGCTGTGGATCAGTGTAGAACTCTGAGAGCCATCACTTGGCCTATGGGCAGTCCATTGGCCATCCATACTCAAATCCACAAAAGCAATGAATGTAGTAGTCAAGGCAATGTCAGAATTACATGCTCTATGATTTTGTAGCTTAATATACTTTAAGTCCCCAGAAGTGATCCTGAGCAGAAGAAAAACCACAAAAATAAGATGATATAAAGACTGGCTCCCTTCTCACATACAAATCATTTACATTTATATGGGCCTCTATGCACATTTATTAGATGTTCTGGACCTGATTCTCATTTACACTAAGGGTATGTCTACACAGCAAAGAAAAGCCCATGGCTGGCCCATGCCAGCCAACTTGGGCTCACGGGGCTGTTTGATTGCTGTGTAGATTTCCAGGCCTGGGCTGGAGCCTGGGCTCTAGGATCCTGCGGGATGGGAGAGTCCCGTGCTCAGGCTCCAGCCCGAGTCCAGAAGTCTACATGACAATGAAACAGCCCAGCAGCCTGAACCCTGTGAGTCCAAGTCAGCTGGCACGGGCCAGCCATGGGTTTTTCTTTGCTGTGTAGACATACCCTTAGGGACCTGAAAGCGTGAATAACTTCCATTTACACCCACGGGAAGGCTCCTTTATATAGCCAGAGTGATATAAAGGGGGCTTCATCTAAATGAGAATCAGGCCTTTGATCTTTTTAAAAGTCTGTTACTGATTACTAGTTTTCCTTAAACGCTTTTATATGACGATCAAAATCAGAGAATAGTTGTCAGCTGCTTACATCAGAAGAACATGGGCCTCTTCATTGTCAGAAAGCTCTTGTGAAATAGACGATGTTGACTGCTGAGGCTCTTTCTGAAATACTAAAGAAAAAAATAAAACTGACTACCTACAATTAACTAAAAGTTACTAGTTTATTCTCAAAACCTATGGATACTTGAGGTCTGTTTGCTTTTCTGGTGCAACCTTAGTTTAATAGAGGGCTTTTGAGAGATTGTTGAATAGATTTCCCATCAACAAATTAATTACATTATTTGATTAGGGTCTTTCTTTTTGTAAGTCTGTCTGTTCAAATCCAGACATTAATGTCTTTGTATTAATAGGCAGCAAGCCAGCACAAGGAAATATTTGTCTTAGCAACCCTGGCACATTATACAGAAAATGTTAGATTTGGTCCTTCATCCTGTCAGTCACTTAGGCCCCAATTCAGGAAAGCTTTTAAACATGTACTTAAATCCATCCCTATTCAGGTGCACTTAAGACATGCTTAACTCTTAAGCATTAACTTAATTTACCTACTTAATTTACCTACTTTCTATTTTTTCCCGTAGAGCTAAATTTTCCTCCTCTATATTCTTCTGATGCTGTGTGGCCTCCAGCAGTCTGTCTTCTAAAGCCACAATTGTCTCTGAATGTTGCTTGATTTGTTCTTTATATTCCATTATTTCTTTCTGAATTTTCTGCTTCAGTAACTCATTCTCATCCTGAATGAGTGTTAGATGTTTGTCTTGCATCAACAGGTGCTCTTGCAACATGGCCTAGGAAACATTTGTTAAGACTCTGAGAAGTGTTTAACTTTAAACATTTTTTAAAAGGGATAATGAGCTTAATCCTCAGGCTAGTAGATACTGTGGAAATTTTTCAAAGCTCTGCTCCAAACTTTTCTTCCATATCATAAAAGGAGTGTAGGAACAACCTGTGTTTCATGAACAGTAGCAAGACCTGAGAACCGTTCCCAGTCCCAGCCCAAATTTGTTAGTCTGTAAGGTGCCACAAGGACTCCTTGGTTTTTTTTTGCTGATACAGACTAACATGGCTACCGCTCTGAAACCTTTGACTGATTATGTAACTGACCCTGCTTGAGCCTGGGACCTACAGAGCTAGAAGCATGAGCTACTACTACAATATCCACAAACTTCTCATGTAGGTTACAGTTACATAGGAGGTGACCCCTCAAATGAAGAGGTTTGCAGGGGGCTCTGGATGTGCTTGAACCAGCCTGGCTCATCAAGGTGCAATGAAGAAATTGCATTCAACCAAAAATGTGTATAATGCAAAACATAGTAAATATATTCTCCTTTCTACTGTAGTTACCTCTCTCTTTCTAGCCTCTTCTAAGCTGTCCACTGCTTCTATCAGTTTGGCATTTACACTTTCTTCTTCTTTCATTTTAAGTTCAATTACCTAAATCAGAAAATAAGCAGTAGATGAGAAAAAAGAACTAGAATATTTCCTTTTATTCCTAATAGAGTTGAAATCTATCTGAATCCCACTCAACCCATTACAGACATGGAATCTCTGGGAAAATTCATCATGTGTAAGCAGGCACACGCCCCGTGAAGTCAATGGTGACGTGCCTGCTTACACCAATCGTGAATTTGGCTCATAGTCATAAACATGATTTACATTTTTTATTTAAGCACCAGGAATTTGCAGTAAATCTAAGAAATAAGTGTATATAGTAATTATTTTTTAAAATTGTGAATATTAAATATTTCAACTGGAGAAACTCAAAATTATGTACTTTGCATTCTACTACAAAGATTAAAAAAAAATGTCAGAGGTCACTAGCTATTACTGTACCAGAGTTAATTCCAATTGGTGCCAAATATATCCTTTTGAATAGGGACAAAGAAAATATATATAGGCCTGGGAACACCAACAGGGAAAAGAGAACTTGGCTGCACATCACTGTTGCTGCAAAGAAATACAGCTGCAGGTGCATTGATCTGACTATAAATAAAGTGGTGCAGATCCTCGTCTGCTTTACTTACTGGCTGCTTCCCTTGCTTCTAGGTCTTTAATAATTTCAGAGCCCTATGGATGACTGGCACATACCCAAAAAGGTTATTCCAAAGCATGTGTGTTTGGTGTGTGCATACACATGTTGGATGTATAGCTAACACGTTGATCTCCTGTTGAAGTTTTGCCTGAAATTGAAACTCTTGATGGAACAAAATCCAATGGGCTCCAAGGTTGGAGTGGATTTTGAAAATGGGAATGTAGGATGTTCTATTTCATCTCTTTGGTTTTCTAAATACCTCAGTCAAATGTCTCCATTGATTTTCCAAATGTTGGACCTTTTTCTTTTCTTCCTCCACAGATTCCTTTAATTTGTCTTTTTCTTGGGCAACAGCACTGTCCAGAATCTGAGAAAACATATCAAATTATCATCACCCAAGTGCCGACGGTTTGTGTCATAAATATAAAGGGAAGGCCAGGAGGGATTTTAAAGGTGTTTACCCTTCCCTTTATATTTATGACAGTTTGTGTAACAAATAAAGAAATATTATTTAGAGGAAGGACATTGCTGAGACGGAAAAGGCAGAGAGCAACTAATATGAGTCATTCAGAGTAGCAGCTGTGTTAGTCTGTATTCGCAAAAAGGAAAGGAGTACTTGTGGCACCTTAGAGACTAACCAATTTATTTGAACATAAGCTTTTGTGAGCTATAGCTCACTTCATCGGATGCATCCGATGAAGTGAGCTGTAGCTCACGAAAGCTTATGCTCAAATAAATTGGTTAGTCTCTAAGGTGCCACAAGTACTCCTTTTCTTAATATGAGTCAGGGTTTTGAAGGGAGGATGGATTACGAAGGAAGGTTAGCTGGACTTGGCACAATTTTAAAAAGAAGAGTGAAGAATGCTTCACCAGAGATACTGCAGAGATCACAAAACTAAAAGAGGAAGTGAATGGTCTGCTGATCAACTGATTAATTTGAAAACCAGAAGTCTCGGAAGGATGTTCAAGAGGAGACTCATGAATAATTCAGGCAAATTTGTAATACACAGTGTCATTTGAAATATGGCTACTAGCAAGAAATTAAGTCAAGTTGGAGAGAACTGTGATTTTTTTTTAAAAAGTAAGTGTGTCCCCCACTCACCCCAGATCTTGTGAAGATCTGTATTTCCCTGAATTTAAAGGAAGTCAGTGAAGACTAGTAAAGAGACAGCCCCAAATCTGACCTAACAGGGATATTTTTCTTCACAAATATATATGTTGATATAATTTCAATTGTGGAGAGCTGTTTCCACAACAGAGGCTACAGCAGTTTTATAGAGATACATTTATGCCATCATCCCTTCGTTCACAAACAGCCCTATAATATGCATTCCACCCGTGTGGCCATGTGAGGGGGGGAGGAAAAGGTGAGATGCAAATTCCAGCTTCAGCCTCCCGGGGAGTTATTCTAGACAATATCACTACTGAATACATTATAGTACTTCTATAAAGCATCTTTCATACAAAATTATCAAAGCATTTCACAAACATACTGTGAGGTAAATTAATCTATTATTACCCCATTTGAAATATGAGTCATCCGATACCCAGAATGGTTTACATTTTTTTGCCCAGGCTCCAATGAGGAGTCAGCTGTGGAGCTGTGAACAGAAGGGCTCCTGATTCTCAATTTGTTGCTCTAAACCATGGGTAACAAAGTGTCTCGTGGCCCGCCAGGGGCTTACCCTGAACAAGCAGCAAACCAAGTTTGGGAACCCCTGCTCTAAACCTTAGACAACAATGCATTTAACAGAGACATTATTGTTCTCTACTGGCCCCTACTTATATTCATTTAATATCTGTGCAATAACTGCAAGTCTTGATATCTCTCCTGACTTTAACAGAAACATACAGATATGGGCCCAAAGCAAAGCACCAGATCTGGGGTAAAAGCCTGGCTCCATTGAAGACAATGGCAAAACTCCCATTGACTTCAAAGCTGCCAGGATTTCACCCCTGGACTTTTTAGAAGTTTGGATCTGGATCTGAATTTTGGGGCTAGAGTTTATCTTCTTTATACATGCAAAACACAACAATGTATTTGAATATATTGTTTGTGCATAAAAGAAACATACTGTATTTTTAAAAATAAACTGCTTTACTATACCTTTTTATTTTCTTCCTCTTTTTCTAAAAGTATTAGTTTTATCTTGTCCTGTAATTCTTTCTCATGTTCCACTTTTAGTTCATTCAGCTTCTCGTGTAGCACAGAATTCTGGGATTCCTGTAATTTGTCTAATTGGGCCTACAGAGAAATGTTAGAAAACAAAGATATTAAGGAACTGGCCCTTTAAGCATAAGAAGAAGGACATTCACTAACATTTTAACAAACTGTTCAGAAAAGAATGATGTTTAAATGACATTTGTAATTAGTGACTTCTGAAAAAAGAATTCATCTATAAAGCTGGCATTGGACATAGAACGTTTCCATAACACTGCATTGCAGGCATATCCTACACTTCACATCTCTGCTCCACTCTGGATTAATCAATCAAAGTCTCTAAACCAGATCGCTAATAGTTATCACCATATTTTCTTTTAATACAAATCCACTCAAAGTGTCTTATGACTTTTTTTTTTTTACCTGCAATGTTTGAATTCTGCCCATAGTTTCATGATTATTCTCCAGCAGACTCTTCATGTATGAGGCCATTCCTTGGCAAGAAATGAAAATTAAAATGACAGGGGTTTATATAATCTCTTTTTTATTACCTGGGGTTTTTCTCACTTCTGGTCATTTACCAAAGGAATGTGATGATGCATGAAAAGGCCTAGCCAAGGGTGCTGTTTGTTTTGCTTTCTAAATCAAGAGCTTCAAGGTTGGCCTTTTTAATCCTAGATTTCACTGTCCTCACTATAGGTTCTATCCTCCCTTTTACAATGCTGAGGAGACCAAACAGATGTAAGAGAGTCAGAAAATGGCCTCCATGGAATCATTCAATGCCACGGTGTAGCTACTACTAGCCCCCTCTTTACCAAATACGTGTGCACAATCCACGCTCTGAGAAGGGAAGGGCCTGAGAGAAATCAAGGAACAGAGGCTCTACATGGCATGTTCATCTCACAGATACATAAAACAAATGTGGGAAACAGCTTCAGGAGTTGATACTACTTGGAGCAGCATAACTTTTTGCCCTCCTCCTTCTCTCTCCCCCCTCCATGGCCTTTGCGAGCCGTTACAATAACTGTGAGACTGGGAGTGGTTGTATGGCAATAGAACTAGTATTGCTACTAACGCAGGGAAGAACCTGGAATCACACTCTGGTGGGGACACTTTATGGAATGGGCTGAGACCCATGGGATCTTCTTTAAATCTACTGTTCAGGATTTTCTGATTTATGTGTGAATTTGAGGCCACCTGCTTTGCCCTTTCCATGCTGTCCTTCAGTCCTGAGGAGAAGATGCAGTTCATGCTTTGGTGCTCAGAAGTAGTGGGTTAATGAGCATAAATTCTTTCCTTCTGCTGTTTTCACACAGGAAAGGAACACACTGCCTATTCATTTATTTATGTAGTAACTAGTCTGTGATCAAGAGGGCACAACTACCAGCTATTTCACACTTCAATGGAGAAGCATATTGTCACTGGATAAGAATCACTTGCTCATACTGGAGAGGCAGCACTGGCTAGTAACAAGAGAGCCAAGAACTCCTGGGTTCTTGTCCCAGTTCCACCAGTGACTCTCTTAAACCTCTCTGTGCTTCAGTGTCCTCATGTGCGACATGGCGCTAATAATTAGCTACTTCATATGTGTGTTGTGAGGAGTGTCATGTTTGTCAAGTGCTAAGTATCGTTACTGATATATAGATCCCAAAAATGCAGAGTAGATGTCGTTTTGGATGTGTTATTCAAGATACAGACAATTTATCCCTGTCATCATTTGCTAATTGGATGAGGAAAACATATGCATACAACACCCATGTGGTTTCATGAGACACTGTGGTCTATAACATGCTACAGGGTATGTTTTAAGCTAAGAAAACTAGCTATTTGAAGAGATCATGCAAAATAATCAAAGAAATCAATGGGCCAATACCTGCAACATAGCCACAATAAAATGTCCCCCGGAACTGAGGTTCATTTTAAGAACAGCCTGAAACTAGTACTTTCCCCTGAAAGGATGATCACAAAATGATGGTGTTGCTTAATGACGCTACCATTGTTGCTGTGTTTCAACTTATTTCTGCTTTGGGGATTCCTTCAAAAGAGGAGGAATCAACTTTCCCTTTGGTAAATGTCATTCTTAGGCCTTTTTGGCACTAAGTTTAAAACCATGCTAACCACAACAGCGTTTAAACAGTCCTAGCATCGTTTCCCTAAACAGTGTGGGTTCTCTTGCCATCCTCCTGCCTTCCTGCACCCTTTTAATTCAAATTGTATGAGTAGATACACAATTTACAGCTCTGTAGGCAAGCACCATGTGAGAGAAAAGTTAATTTCTCCTCTTCTCAGTGCAAGGAATCACCTCTGGATCAGATTACATAATGTGAGCTGCATGACATGATGTATTGTTCTGCATCAAGACATAAAAAGCTATTTGTTTTTCCACTCACGAAGTTAACTTATTTTCAGTAAATCAGAATAGAAACGGCTCTGTTTCACAATACAGATTAAAGTGGAAGGGAAAGACAGGACAATCTGTTACCTTGCACCACTGAGTTAAGATAAGGGCTCTGGCACTAAAACAGCTAGCAGTGCTAAATTCACCGCCAAGAGCCTTTTCTTTTATTACAAAAGGAAAAGAACCACCAAGATAGAATAACTGGCATGGAGGGAGATATGAAACTGCATAAGAGCCAAAATATAAATAGTATATTTAGAGGGGCAAAGATCAAAATATGGTTTAGGTGATATCAACTGATTTTGGTATCAGTTTGGCCATAAATATAGGGATACAATAAGACAGATGGACAGAAATTGCTTCAGGATCTGATTCTTTTAATGCCATAGGATGAATAATGACCATAGCAGAAATCAGCTGATTTGATAATACCCAAGCACGTGCTAAACTCAAGAGATGCAGAGGGAGCCAAGCTGCAAACTTAAAACAAAACTTTCACAGTTTGGGAATGTCAGGAGCTGGAGTTTTGGTTTGAGCCATGATAAAGATAGTGACCAGCCATGCAATTTCCACACAGCTTGGACCCAGATCCAAACTTCCCCAAATCTGGGGATGTTCAGGGCTGGGGTTTTGGTTTGGAACTGTCTCTACTAAGAGGATCTAAGAAACTGGAAGCCCATACTTATTAGTATTTTAAAGAGGAATTAATAATGATTGAAATGTTACTTTTGTCACAGACATGACTTGCAGGACAATAACTGCCTTTTAGGTTTCTCTTGTAAAAATGATCTTTATTACCCTGAATCACCTACTATTGAGCAAGACTTCTCCATGAATTTTTACACATTTGACTCTATATAAGTCCAGGGGAATGGAGTGTGGGTTTTAAGATACATTGCAACTATTAGTTAAATATTTTATTGTAAAATTAAGGATATTTAATAGATTGTTCTCGGTTTCCCTAAATAAACAACTTTAAAATATTGTATCCTGTGACTTTCTTCTTTTTTGCTAAATACTAAAATGACAATTTCTGTCTTTTTTGCCATGACTCATCCTATATTTTTGCCATAACCACCATTGGCCTTAACGATGATTTACAATGCTGCAGGTCTACAAACTTGTTCAAAATAATGACGGCTGGTATTCTCACAGGAGAATAAGGAAGCTAGGCACCCAACTACCATTGAATTTCAATAGGAGATGAGCACCTAGCTCCATTAAGCTCTTCTGAAAATCCCAGCTACAAATACTAAAAGGAGAGCTGGCAAGTCTAGTATCAGAACTATCTGTTGTGGTTTTGCTCACAACGTGTTCCTCATTGTTTTGCTTGTCTATTCAGTTCCTCTGAGGAAGTATGGTATTGAAATGCACAAGAATCTTGCTTTCTGCTGCTCTTCAGATGTCCCCAGGTGACTCTATCTTCTAAGACACTGTAGTTGCTAAACCCAGCCTTAGTTACTGTGAAATACTGGATCTAAGATTAATACGTGATAGTATTTTAAGCTGCATTTTGAACTCTCATGCTTAGTATATGGAAAAAGGTATGAAAAAGGTAAGAAAAAGAAAACCAAGAACCTTTGTCAGAACAAGACACGTCAATCCCCACATCATGAAGGAGCTGCTCCATTGCTTCTACCCATGAGAGTAAACTGCTTAGAATTTCAACTACTGGTGTGTGGATCCACAAGACAGAGGGGTCAATGCACAGATCTTGAAGGTTACAAATCTCTCTTTTCAAGCTACTGCTGCAATAGGAGGTATTTAAGAAAGCCTGAAAGACAATTAATAACAAACAATCCAAACCTTGTGATTATGGGTCATTTGTGTCTTAACACAACAGTTAATACAATAAACTCTTTACAACAAAATACATTCTATTACCACTACAACAATCATGTTCTGTTTTAAAGATGCCTATTTATGTATTGCAACAACTTTCAGGAAAGTGGTTTTTGTAGGATGTAATGCAACTTTGTCCACTCCATCAGATACTGCACGTGTACTGTGATGCATAGCAGGCCCTATCCTGCAACAGCCATTTCCATTGTTGTCTGGACTCAACTGGGTTTCAACCAACATTTCAGACAACTTTTGACACTTCTGTGACGGGGAATAGTTAGTGCTCCACAGTAAAACATATTTGTATCTCTGGTACTATTACCCCTAGCAATTTTTAGGGACCTCAGCCACAAACCTGTTTTGAGGTAGGCTATCTTTACACACACACACACACACACACACACACACACACACACACAGATACTGTTTAAAATGTAAAGTCAATCAAGCACACATTCAGCAATAGGATCGAGAATAACTCTAGTTATTTCAAGACAATCTGAAAAAGCAAAATTATGTGATTTTCCACTCCCATACACTAGAAAAATTATCCAGGCCAAACCAAGACTATACTGTATCCTCCAGAGTCTTGCATCTAGCACTGAAAGTCACTGGGAACTCGGTGCCCAGCTTCCTTGAGTTCCTTTGAAAATCCCAGTCTGCAACTTTTTCCCATCATCTTTGCTCCAGTTTCAATAAACACATTTTGCTCAGCAGTCTGCAAGGCCAAAAAATCGGGTTTTCACATTAACAGTAAAGTTTGTTCAGATCAAATGGACAATGGATCATATTCTTCATACCCCGGTGATGCACTGAAGAGCCTAACTTGGAAGATTAAAAATAATTAAAAAAAAGAACTGTATCTTTTTTTAGAGTTGCATGTAACATTTATATTCACAGTGAATTCACATGCAATTGGCCAACCAGAGGTCTAACTTGCATTTGTACCTGCAATTACCATGATTTTGTTGTGTGCAGTTCTAAAGATCTGGGGCTCCCAGGCTCCCAGCAGCTTGGCAGCCTGTCTGGCAGCCAGGAAGCCCAGGGAACCCCAGTTCCTTGGCAGCCCACCAGGTGAGATGAGAAGGAGCCAGGAGCCTGGAAGTCCTGGGAGTTCCAACTCTGCAGCAGCCCACCACGCAGGCTGCCAAGGAGGCAGGGAGGCTAGGAGCATGGGGAGTCCCAGCAGGCAAGCTGCTGAGGAACAGGGAGATGGGCAGGTAGGCGAGCTGGCAGGAAACAGGGTAAGTTTCCACTGGAATCCTGTTTGGTTTCCTTTGAAAGGTTCGCTGAAATCAACATGCTCCAGTGGAAAATTTTGCTTTCGACTAATTGGCATTTTGTGATGGGAAACTGTTTCATCCAAATGTTTCTCTCCAGCTGTAACAACCACAAAGCATTGCTACTGATTTGTAGAGAAGGAGCACATCTCTTCAGTACCATATGCAGCAGATCTTTTCTCTGGTTAAACATCTAGATTAAGTCACTATTTAGGACAATCATGTGCAATATATCTGAATTATCTTCTAATTCACTTTCAGTATACAAAAAGCACTTAAACAAGTGACCTGGAATTCATCCAATGATTTCTTCAACATCTCAACACTTTCAGATACTTCCTTCTCTTCAGAGTCCTTGGAACTCATTTCCTCCTGTAATAACTTCTCCTCTTCATGATTCTGCAGATTTTCATTAGTGATCTGTCTTATCTTTTCCATTAACTGATAAAAGGGTATGAAGGCAGAAGAAGAAATAAATGCACAAAAAAATGGAAGACATTCCCATTTTCACTTGAAAAGAATGGCTTAGTAAATGTAAGCTTACATTTTTCACAACAATTCTTATTTCAGTGTAAAATAATTGACTAAAATAGTTTGGTGCTTTACTCATCACTAAGGCCCAGTTCCTCAAAAGTATTTAGGTGCCTAATTCCCATTGACTTCTGGCTAAATACCTTGGAGTATCCTAAATAACTTTAAGGATCTAGGCCCAAATTAATTTTTATGAGTTGGCTTAAGGAATATTCCACCATCAAGAGGCCAATTTTCAAAAACAGCTTCTCAAAGCACATGTACATTTTGTGCTCTGAACTAATTTTCACCGCCATACGAAAGAATGTGTGTGCCAGCACACACACTCACACACACACTCAGGACTGCTGCATGCAAATGGAGTAGTTTTAAAGTAGTTAACTGCCAAATTTGTATGCTGCTCAGTATTGACTTCAATGGATGCTTAAATTTAAATACGTTCTTAAGTGCTTTGCTGAATCAGGGCCAGAGCACTCAGCACCTTGCAGGACCAAGGTGTCTCTAATGTGCAACCCAATTTGTCTCCATTTTGTAGAACTTCCATGCAGTAAGTGTCAGCAGCAGATCCTGCAGACTGAAATGATAGAGAAAATGAGCCTTTCCCCAAGTCATGGGCAAACTTTCGGAGTCTTGGAAATCTAGGATGCAAACTATAATTTGGTGCAAAATTTTATCCATCCTGAAATGTGTTTTCCTATTAAAGCATACTTGCTCAACCCCAGATTTGGAGGGGGAAATTATCACATTTCTTCTTAAATACAACAACATTAGATATTGTTGATTTTTCAAGTGAAACCAGTACATCATTATATCTTAAACTACACCTTATTCAAGTGTTTAACTTAGATGGTCTCCTGAACCTAGATGAAGAAAGTGGTAGAGAGACAGAAAGCCAACTCCTGGAGCAGTAAAACATTTGAATGTAACATTTTTCTTAAAGATGAGCTCCCTCCTTTCTTAATTGGTATTCCAGTGAAATAAAACTCAGATATAGCACCAGATTCATTTACCTGGACTGTACAATTTATCCATATAGTATTCAACTCGCCTCTCTCCCCACCAAAATTCTCCATTAAGGTACCTTAGCTCTGTACTCATGAGCATCTTTTGGACCAGCGTCATATGTCACCTTGGGGGGAGGGATAGTTCAGTGGTTTGAGCATTGACCTCCTAAACCCAGTGTTGTGAGTTCGATCCTTGAGGGGGTCATTTAGTGATCTGGGGCAAAAATTGGGGATTGGTCCTGCTTTGAGCAGGGGGTTGGACTAGATGACCTCCTGATGTCCCTTCTAACTCTGATATTCTAGGATAAGGTGTCTGTATGGAAAGAATCCCAGATGGATGAGTACAGAGAATTACAAAATTACCTTTGTTTGTCAATTGGTAAAATGAGTCTGGAATGAGGTCCAACAAGATAAATATGTGTAAACAAACAAAATCAAAAAGATCTGTTCCCTCAGTATCAGAAGCTCCCAAAATGTAAAAGCACCAAGAAGTTGTGTTTGCTGTCACCTGAACTAACCTGTTGATCTGTTACAGTCTCTGGAATTTCCGCTTCTTGTGAATAGAAGATTTCAATCATTTGCCTTTTGAAACACTCCAGCTAAAGCAGAGATTGATAAAGTAAACAAAATCACTAACAGCTAGAGTCAACAGAAACTCCATTTGGCTAGTCTGCACTAGTCCTGAAAAATCAATTAGGAGGGCACACCAGTTTAATAATTATGTTGTTCTATGAAAATTTTCAATAATTATAGAGGGCACGAGTAGTAATTTTGAAGGTATTCTGCCCATGATCATTGACCTTGGCGCCTAGTGACCACACTTGCCCTTGCCTTAGGCTATAAATTCAGCTCACAATCAATTTTCTGTCGGAATAGTCCACAACAAACACTACTACTAAACTGTACGTTTACACCACTTTGATAGAATAGCCCTGTAGTTAATAATATTACTCATGTTGTCTACTAAGTTAAAGGGTATAATCAACAGTGAGACACCAGGGGGATTGTTAAACCATTATCAGTGAATTAAAAGTGGTTCTTGAAAAGTGAATGCCATCTTTTGTAAGTACTGTATGTTGGAAGGAACGTGAAGAAAGTATGCATAAAAATAGAAACATAAATACATTTAAAAAAAACAGAATAAGGATCCCTATAATAATTCCTAAGCAAAGACAGCAAACAAAATACAAAACAGAATAAGAAAGAATTTAGCTTCATAAGTAGTAAACACACAAGCAAAAGGATCCACTGAGGAACTACACTGGAAAGCTGATGTCCAAATCTGCTCCCATTAGAGTCAATACAAGTTTTGACATTTATTTTACTGTGAGCAGGATTGAGCCCACAGTAACAGATGTGGTGAAGGTCAAGTGCTAGATGGGGCTCTTTGTAGCCTCTTGTTAACATTACAGCCCCAATCTGTAGGGAAGGTTGAACTGAATTCTCTGCCTCTGATTGAGTCACCTCTCTGGATACTGCTAACGCACCTCTGTCAGAGATGATTTATCTGTGAAACTCATAAAAATGTTTCCGGAGAGCAAAGGCACCAGATTGCATCACACGTCAGATATTTAAACAATTGTCCAAAGATATCTCTACAAGGTTTAAACTCCCGGCCCTGCTAGCATTTCAAATTACACCAACTAGACAGATTGCTAGACTAGAACAGGTTGCTAGGTTTTATGTTCTGGGTGTGATTTTTTAAAGTAAAATTCCCATTGCCAGCACTGAAGGCTGTTGAAAATGCCACCCACTGTGTATTTTTCAGAAACGAATTATAAACATTTCCAATGAAGTGAGCTTAACATAACTTTGTTTGCTAGGTGGTATTTGTCTCTTCCCTTGGCTGTAACAAAACATTATCCAGTCTTTCATCTAACGCATCTACAAACACATGCACTCCTGGGACAAGGAGTTTGTAATCTGTGACAATTGTGTGGGTTCCTGTTAGACACTGGCAGGACTTCCCAGTGAAGTAGCTGTTACTAGGGGCCTGATATTTACCCTTTGCTCCATTAGTCACAAAACTAATGGATAATTCGCATACACCTGTTCAAAAAGTTAATGCTATAGCAGAGCTTCTCTGACCAAGGTCAACAGGATTTCTTTGCCGAGAACCTTGCTAACAACACTGGGTTATAGGCCACTGAGGAAGATGGGATGTGAGATGATGGCATAGTTTTATAACGCTGTTCTGTTATGATTGTCAGACCAAAAAATATATCCCTGTTCATACCAGACAGGAAACTTTTCTGAATCCTGCTAGCAACCATCGTGTTTAAAGATGGTGGTAGCTGGCTCCGTTCTGTAAGGAGAGGGCCCTAAACTAGGAAATTAAACATTTAAAGGATCTGTAATTGCACCAGAGCAGATACTTAAACAGAAGTATTTTACAAAGGGCTCTGTTCTTCCTTGAAGTAAGTCAGGCAGCAGCTGTGGATGATTTGTGGGTGATGGAGAGGACAACAGAAAATAGAAGGAGTGTATGGTGCCTATGCATCATATAAACACTGGCCATCTGTAAATGAGATATGGAAACACACCTTGTAGTATAACCCAGCCATGACCTACACAATTTGGAATTAATACCAATGTAGCAACCACAGAGTTCTGTGCTCCAGGTTTATATTTCCTCTGCGGCACTCTAGCTTTCAATAGCTTTTATGGCTGTTACAAATCATTTTTTCCTAGAGAAACGCTCCTATTGTTAGCTATAATGCAGAGTACAGAGTAATGTTTCTTTTCAGCAACCCCTACCTGAGCTTTTGCCTGTTCCAAGTCAGCTTTAATGAGGCCTTCTCTGCGCCCCATCTCTTGTAACTGCAGACATTTCCTTTCACACTCTTTTTTCAGTTCCTCTTCAGCCTGAAACAATGAAAGCACCTGAATATCAAAGTGATACCGTATAATAATGCCATAAGCAGATCTATCACTATTTCCTACAGAAATCTTATTAGAACAGTAGAGTCCACATATAACTTTGGGTCATGCGATGTCACTTTTTATTTTTTAATTTGCAGTGCTGGGTACTTAAGCTGTTTAACATCCTAGCTATAGGTCATTGGTAGCTCATCAGTCATATAGTTCTAGCCACGCTGCCCATGGTTTTAAATTAAGTCACTGGTACTGAGATTTTTGGGTCTCCTCTTGCACAAGATAAAAGAGTTACTGAATGTGCTTCATTCTACAGCCAATCTACAAAGAAAGGATTCCTGTAGGCTCCCTGACTTATGAGCAATATATAGATAACTCCTTGGATTCTCGACAGTACCAGTATACCTGATAAATCTAAAAAGGACATATCTAATTCTCCATGCATGTGTCATGTTCCAGCTGGGTGGGTGGGTGGGTGTGCGCACGCGCATGTCTTTCCTCTGAATGTAATCAGACCTATTCAAGTACCAGCTAGTTTGCGATGATCATACCCTCTAGTGGCTGGCCAGCAAATATGTTTAGTGCTCTAATACTATGGCCAATTAACAGAAAATGTCATTCTTTAGGTCGGGTGGCAGACACCTGTTTTCTAAGCGCTAACGGCTGTGCAAGTGGTTTAAGCAGATGATCTTGGAACAAAGTACAGTTACAATTAACATCCACCGAATTTAAGGTAACAAAGTTGGAAACCACTGCTAGACACAAGAATTCTATCACATTCATGGAAAGTAAGAATTCTTTATTGCAGAGCAAGTAGTGAGATCAAAGAAATAAACATCTAGGCAATAGCCCTATAAACACATTATGGGCCTTTCAAGGGGGCAGGATTATACTCAGGAACATCAGAATGGGTCTCTGCTTATCTGACTCCACAAGTTGCAGCCTGAGTTGCACAATAGTCTTGCTTTGGAAAAGGAGAGCATTATCAAGAGTTGTAGAAGAAAGAAAACGGAGATGATACTGGGGGACTATACCAAAACACCACCGAAGAAATAGCGAGGAAGAGTAAAGGCGATAAGAGCAATTTTAGAATCCTTTGCAATGGAGAATATCACATTGAAGAAATACCATAAAAACATCTTAATTTTATTTTCATTCTAAGACACTAAGAAAAATAAAGCTATTTCAAGAAAAAAACGGCTGCAAGCAGAGTCCCTGTACATGTGCTGCAGAGGCGAGCCCAAATCCTGAGCTGGCCTCTGCTGACACATTAGAACCAAAAGCAGGAACAGTGCTACAGCATGGCTGGGCAAAGCGGCAAAGAATTTCCTTGGGGGGCATCCACCCTTGTATGTGTGCTGGGATGAGTCCTAATCAGCGGGTCTCCACAAAGGAATGTGAAAGGGGGAAAGTGGGCATGTCACTCACAAATAAACACGAAGCTGCACAGCCCAAAGTCAGCACAGGAACTGTGCTATGGTACTTACCACCGCAGTGGAGTCAGGGAATCCATTCCCAATCTCAAGACTGTGTTAGCCTGGAGTTTCACTTTCCTTTTATTCAGAATTATAATTTCCTTTTCAGGACTGTACCTCATGAGAGAGAAGCTAGCAGGCAGAATGGAAATTTACCTTTGTTTTTTCTGCAAGCCTACTTGTTATGATTTCTTGTTCGGTGCGGTTCTTCTGCATTTCTCCCTGCAGCCCCTTCACTTGCAGCTCCAGCTCTCCAATGCGCTGTAAAAATCCCAATAAAATGGAATCAGCCACACAAAATAGTAAATCACCCAATTTAATGAGATTATATTTCAATAAACCTCCTAATTTCATTACATTAACTTCAAGACCTTTTTTGTTTTATTAAACAATCTGAGTAATTCAGTTATTGCATATCCTAAATCTTTAACTAATAAGAAATACATTTGCCCTATCTATCATTTTAAAGATATTGGATTTACAGAGATGGGTGAAAATAATCATTAGCTTATTTGGGAAATTAAGGAGTAACATTTCATTTACAGTACAAAACAGACAGGTTTATGGTTTCATTTACCTCTGATGCTTTGCTCTAAATTTCAAATAAATGAAAAAAACACACATTTACTAATCAATATAGTGATTGCCAATTGTAGTTTAAATCTTATTTCAAACAGAATTCCACTTCATAGAAAACTTCTATTAAAATATTTCCAGGAGTCAACATTTCTCCAATCTGTTGTGTAGTTACATCCCTTTCCACGACAAGACCCGGATTATAAATACAATTCGTAACGTGTCTAGTTAATTATTCTCAAAGGGGTGCAGAGTTTCAATTTGCTGCTTGTCTATATGCTAAAACAACCCAGGCAACTAAAAACTAAGAAAACTAACTCACATTTTGGTATGTAATTGCTTCTCTCTCTCTGAATTCATGCTTCATTTCCTCTTTAATTCTAGAACACTGGAATGAACAGCAACCAAGAAAAAAATCATCACAAGCAAGGAAGATATGATCATTTTTATATTATGTTGAGCACACAGCAAAATAGTATGGCACAACAGTAAGGGCCCAGTACCACAGATTGCTGAGTGTCCTCAACTCACAATAAAGGAAATGAGAGAAGGGGCTGCTCAGCATCTTTCAGGATTGGACTTTTAGAAAAGCATTGTTTTAGAAAAGAAAAACAGAAAGACAATTAAGAGTTAACAAAGCTACATGAGACAAACCCCTTGTGCTTTTGAAAAAGAGTGCTATTGAAAATGCAGAGGTAAGGAAGAAAGGAATAGAAGAATTTTTGAAATGTACAAGATGATCAGAACCAGTGTTAAACAGAAATTTTAAAACAAATACATGAAACAACATGTATGTTCTGAGATAGTATTCTGAGCCCAGAGAAACTGGTTATATTTATAGGACCAAATGTTATCAGAAGTTCAGATAATGAGCCAGATTCTGATTGACACGTATATACAGACACATAGCAGAAAGCCCATGGCCATAGGGTAGCCCAGTGTGAAAATTGTATGCCCCGACTCTGGCTCTTTCCAGAACTCATGAAGAGGCTTCTCTGCAAGCCCCCCAACAAGGGAAATGATGGATGGAAGTTCTGGGATGGGGCTATATGTAAGGACTCTATGTTTCCTGCATATAAGCATATGCCTCCTGGCCTGGTAAAAGAAATTACAGCCTCCCCATTCCCACTACAGCTGGGTGAATACTTGATTTTTCAGTTCCACAGGCAAACCACAAAAATCCCAAACAACTTTTGTTTCAAGTCAACGTGAAATGACAATTTTTTGTTTCTTTCTTGTTGAAATGAAAAACAAACAAAAAAATCATTTTGGGTAAAACAAAACATTTTGTTTAGTTTTCAAGTGCTTTTAACCCTTTTGTTTTAGTGAAACTCAGCTACATTTTGGAACAAAGTTGTTTTGAAACACAAAGTCTTTGACTTTTTCAGCATTATTTCCCCCATTTTTTTTTTTGCAGTCAAAACGATTAGCTGAATTTGACCCAATTTGGTGAACAGTTTTGACTCACCCAAAATTGCATTTTTCAATAAACTGTTTGCTTAAAAAAAAAAAAATCACCCTGCTCTATTCACATTGCTATCAGGATTAACTTGAGGGGCCAATATGGGTGCTTTTAGCACAACATTTTGCAACTATTTGTTTTCCACAATCCCTAGAGCTCTGTCCTGCAGCCCTTTGTCTCATCACTAATCTCACTGGTTTGAAAAGAACACCTCACACAACGCGGCCTGCAGGGCCAGCCCTATAATGCCATCAGTTTGAAGGAAATGTTGAATCTGTGCAGTGGAGTTGGTATGAGATGAAAGATCCCTGTCTTCTGTAGTGCTACCCAGAATCATAGACAGCTAATCCTGAGAGGAGCTGAGTTACTCCTGTAAACTGCTAAGCACATCAACTCCTGTGTTCGGTGATGGAACTGTATCCACACGGAGTCACACAGGGAGTTTAGGAGCAAGCTATTTTTAAGAATTTCAGATGTTCTCACAATGAATCCTTGAGTCATATGCCTCCAACCATCAGCTACTTTGCGCCTTCCAAGTTAAAATTGAATAAACTGATCCAAAAATCTAACTCAGAAGGAAAGGAGAGGAAATACATTTCTTCATTTATAAACAAGAAAACTGGGTTACTTATAATTAATTGGTATTTTGCTGTTACAGCTGCCTGCTCCTTAGGAATTCTACAAGTATGCCACTGTGGTACTCCAGAAAACCCCACCAGTCAAACTCTCAATAGTACACTCTCATTCATGCACCACTGATTGCTCCTTCTCATCTAGAAATATGCATCTTTTACAACTCAGCCCTCCCATGTTTCAGCCAACTCAGTGTGATGTTAAGGGGGAAAGATCTGAAATGAAGGGGATGTGGACAGACAAGTGGGGATTTGGTTAACATTTCTTGGTCACAGAAATCCAATATGCATAGTTTTTGAGGTCTCCTTCCCTCACTGCTTGGGAACTACAAAGTAATAGTGTGGTTTTAGGTTACAATATTCAGTCATGCAGCCTGACCAAAATCAAGCATCTGCTCTAAATTTGATTTGATTAAGCTGCCTTTCCCAGGTGTAGAAGCACAGCTTGAGGGTAGCATCTTTGTAAATATACAGGACATGTTTAGGAAAAAGCCATACAGCAGCTTTCTTAAAGAACAGAATTGAAGACAATCAGAAGTGGGCTTGGTTGTGAGACAGAGGCAATGATTGGATCTCAGATGTAGAAAATCCCTGTTTGGAAATAACCTGATGCGAGTGTTTTGGACAAGCAAACAGAGGAGATGATTCACTGAAATAGCACCACACCACACAGTGAGAGAAGGTCTAGGAAAAATCACAGCGGGAAACTGGTAACTGAAAAAGAAGGATCCATAAAAACACCCTGCAACTTGCTGGTTTTACAAATGAACCTGTCTAGGTACATACCTGGCCCTCATCACTGTAACACCTAAGCAATGTGGCTCAGCTTTCCATTGACTTCTATCTGAGTTGGATCAAATCGGAAGCACCAAACAACAAAAACAAAAACCACTCACTAAGGGAGAACAGGTGATGAGCTCCATTTATAGAGGCTCAAACCTAGGGTCCCAGAGTTGGATGAGGATCAAATTCAGGCCCTAGGAGAGAGGGAGAATTTTTCCTGCTGGAAGGTACCTATATAGTAGCCCTTTCAGGAAGTATCAGACACCAGATGATGATGATGATGATGAAGAAGAAGCAGCTCTGTGATGAAAAGTTGAGACAGCAGCCAGATGAACTCTCGGAGAAGGGTTAAATTAAACAACTGCCACCACCATCAAAAGATAGTAGTACTCTCCCGAAGTCCACCCGTATCCCAAGATCTGCTCACATCCCAGAATTCTCCAATTCCACCACCAAAAAGAGGCACCACATTTTGACAAAGTGGTTTGAGTTTGCTTTCCTCCTGGTTGGCATGCAAACGTGCTCACATGCACAAATAAATCTACTCCCACCTGCTTGGGCTTTTCTTCCCTCCCCAAGGCTTCCTGATAGGGTGTCCAACCCATCAGGGAATATACTATTCCTCTTAGGTGGCTGGAGGAACCATAGAACTCTTGTCTCAGACAGAACTAGGAAGTTCGCTGGTGAGGTTGCTGAGTAGTTGATTTGCTCTTCAGGGTACAGGGCATGCGGGATGGCTCTCTTGCAATCTTGTACCAGGAAAATCAGTGGCTGCTCCCACTGGATTTGGGGACAGGTAGCAATAGCATTAAGTGGGGAGCCAGCAAAATTTTGAATTTGGCACCATTGTCTCTTGTGAATGGATAGTTGTGTTGTCGTTACTATAATATGGCCACAACCGAGCAGCAGAGCAGTCAGAGTAGCACGGCAAAGGGAGTGAGCAAACCTGTTGGACACAAGCTTATACACGCTTTCTTTGAGAGGATCTTGGAGAGGTTCACTGAACTGGAAGAGAATGACCATGCAGACTAGGAAAAGGATTTTCACTTGATTGAAAAAAAGCACTGTTTCTAAAATTGGAAGGAGGAGAATTAAAAAAAAAAAGACATATTGGCTAGCGCCTGAGTTTTTCACCTGCCTTGCAGTAAGGGGGTGTACTTTTAACAGGAACTCAGTGCTATTCAGTGGAATTCACCATGCAGGGCAAGTGGGATTCAATGTGCCAGAGCCACACAACAATCCTGAAGTACATCTACATGAACAGCAGAATGAAATTTGAGACTGATACAGAAACTGCATAGGTAAAATTGAAGTCTGGCATAAGAGGATGAGACATTGGTATGTCAGCACTGAAATCAGGTGGTGTGATTGAGACAATGTAGACATATCTGAGCTAGCTTTAATCTAGCTAAATCAAAGGTAGCTCAAGTAACAATAGCAGAGAAGCCATAACAAAATGGGTTGCAGCCACCCAAGGATGTGCCTACGGTCCTGGGTGGGCAGGACATACCCCATTTCCTTGACTCTTAGTTCTTGCCTAGTATGAAAATACTGTACAGATATAGAAACTATAGACATTGGCCCAAATTTGGCTCTGGTATAACTCTGGTGAAATCAGTGGAGTTGTTGAATTGGGTCCATTTTGTTGTTGTTATTTTACTAAACCATTTGTAGTATAGTAAATAACAGTGCACATAAGCATGGGTGTCAACCTTGGCAGAAATGACTGCAAGCTGATTATCCTTCTCCCTGTTTTCCTTCTTTAGTTTATCTGCATTCAGTTTTAGTTGCAGTATTCTCTGCTCTTTTGCTGAAATGTCTCTTTGCAAACTGGTCACCAGTCCTGTGAAGAACAGAATTTAGGTCAAAGAATACAAAGGCATTTCAGTTATGAAAACCTGCTAAACAATATCATCATATAAACATTGAAGAAGAAAAAACATTTAGCATATATTAACAATATCTGGTTTTGAAAGCAGATCCAAATTTAGTCCATACACTCTGGGAGTTATTTAGTGTGACCATTAGTCCCAAAGAATTCAGTGCTTTGCTCCTTTGGGCAAGAACAATTCTCTTACAGCTCAGTTTTTCTTGAAAAACTATGCTTAGGTCTGAAACTTTGATAACTTGTCCCTGTGGACTGGTGTAAGTAAATATAACACACACAGTTTGCTTTTGGAAAACGGAGATGGAGTGAAATGATTTCGCTAACAGGACTGTATTGTTAGCTACTGTTTAAATAAAAACACTTGAGTATTTTGTGTAAATATTAAAGTCCTTTTGACTACTAAATCATTATATAAAGGAAGGCTGGAAATTGGAAAATGGTTTGCACTCTGAGACAGGGCCCTTGAGAGATATTCAGAACACTGGACATAGGAGGCCGGATCCTCAGTAGGTGTAAATCAGTAGTGTCCCTGAAGTTAGTGGAGCTATACTGATAACACAGCTGAGGGTCTGACCTACAGTGACTAACAGTTCCTTATATTCCAGGGTTTTCCCCCCTCTTTTTTTAAATAAACCATCTGTCCCACAACTCACCCAGATTTAGGTCCCAATGTTCCTTATTTCTACTCTACTAGTTCTTCTGTCAGAAGATATCTGTAAGCCTCAAAGAGGTTAAAATGAAATAGAAAAAAGGGACGAACAATTTTAGAAGGTCCACAAAGCCACTAAAAATCATTTCTGGCCAGAGAAGTTTTCAAGTATACATTTTCATTGCTAAACTATATTAACTGTGATCCTAGCCCTAAAAACTGCATATTAAAAGTAGACTACCTGAGATGCCAGAGGAAATATACCTGTAGTTAGACCTTGGTTCCTCCTTAGCTTCTCACCCTCTTTTTTCAAGTTTGCAATTTCTAAGTCTCTTTCAGAGAGGGAATGGCACAAGACTTGGCTCGAATCTCTCTGCAGACTGCTGATCTACAAAAGATATGCAAAGAAAATAAATTATTGGTAACCTTAAATAGGGAATGGGCAAACCAGCTCAGGTCATACAAACCCTATCTTTGTTCTACATTTGAACCAGACTTGTTTTGAGGTTTGAAATAAGTTAAATGGCTTTTTGTTTAAATTAATCAAATACACTCATGTCCATACTTCCCAATTCAGTTGTGATCAAAAGCTGCTATGAGAAAAGTGTTCTTGCTACATTTCCAACTCCATGGATATGCCAGATATTTAGACAGTCTGTCCAACAGCAAGTTAAGGAGGGCCTTTACAGCTCTCCGTTTTCAATCTACGCAGACATCTAACTTAAAAGTCTGATATAAGGCACTGAGAAATGTAATCACCTCTGTCCATGGGGCTTTGGGTAGGTGGAAGACCTACCCCATTACTTATGATTTTGTAATTTGTATTGCCACTTGAGGTCAAAATGGCTTTCTGTGTTTTTGTCCCAGATGCCTGTTTCTAGAAAACTGAATATTTGTTAGGAATTGACAGTGTATCTGTGATTCAAGCAGTTGCCCTATTTGCATGGTCAGCCGCTACAATAAGGAAAAGGCAAGTGGCACAGTGATTATATATGGTTTAATTGGTTTTTGTTCTTTTTAATTGGTTTGTACATATATTTTAAATATTTTATCATTCTGGATATCATTTTAAGTTTTATTGTAATATATTTTAATTTTTGTGCATTGAACTATGGCTAAGTTGCTAGTAATAAACTTGACTTGATATTTCCAAATGGGAAAAAAGCATGAGAAACTTCATTTGTGAACTTATTTTCCAAGATCTCCAGCCCAATTCTGCAGACCTGAGTGGTTTGAATAGTTTAGACAAATATTCAAACCTGAGAGTTTATCCAAACTGAGCAGGGTTCAGCCAAGATTACTCTAAGCACAAACAAAAGGCAAATAGTCTCTCTGCTACTGAAATATTCCAGCAGTCAAACATTCAGAAAAAAAACAAAAAAACCCACAGATCACAGATCCTTCTCAGCTAACTCACATGAGCAGCCCCATGGATGCTTGCATGAGTAAGTCAAAAGGATTTATATATCATGGGCCAACTTATAGCAACAGGAGGAGTAAGGCTAGTATTTCAAGGTCATTGGTTTATATGTTTTTTTCGGGAGTCTTCAGCTAATTGTCAAGAACAAATATTTCAGATAATAACTTACTGAAAGCACTCAAAGTCATGTACATTTTCTAATGCAAATAAAGATCAGCCACATTACCTCCTGGCTGTCATGAGTGAAGATGAAACTTTGCAGTCTACTTTTGCATCTCATGGCCAAAGAGATAATAAGAAGGGAGGAAATATAAATTTCCCATTGTTAAAATAATTGGTTTCATGAGCCTAATTCAGAGCAGATAAGTAGACCGTTTGAAGGAGTCCACTGGGGGAGTGTGCAGCTCTACATGCAATATATCGTCTTCAGCATAATACAAAACCAGAGCTGCTGACAACTCACTGAAAACAATCACCAACGCTCTGTATAGCAATAATTCTGTTTTATGTATCCGATTTTCAGTATTGCTCTTTCCTTGCTCTTTATCACTGTGTGCATTCACATGAACACAGAGCTTAAAAGGGACATGGTCATCTTGAAATACAGTCAACATAAAAATGTCTTAAAAGCAGTTTCAGATATTATACTTGCCTTCCAGCCACCCTCCCAATTTATATAGCTTTTCAATCAGATTTCCATATTTTAAAAATGTTTTCTCTCTCCTGTTGTTGTATGAAAGACACACACAAACAAATAAGGAAGCTAACTTTCTATGCAAAGGAAACAGTGTCTATATACAAAGGGTTGTCAAAAAGGTGAACAAACTGAAAAAAAACCCCAGCCCTTTTTCTCCTCTAAGCTCTTTTGTTTCTAGCAACAATTGTTAGTAAAAAAAAAAAAAAAAAAAATTCACAAAGGAGTCTAATTAAAGTTGACAGTGTCCCATTACGAGTTCGAAAGATACCTGCTCTTTCAAGGCTTTAATCTCTCCTGTCTTTGCTTCAATATCTCGCTCAAAGGTCAGTAGTTTTTGAGTAGACTCGACATCATTCCTAGCAGCCTGAGCCATCTTCTTTGTCATCACTGCAATTTCATCCTGAAGATTGGCTATCACTGTATCTTTATGTTTTGACTCACTTTCAAAACTCAAGAGACGACTGATTTCATCTTTCATTTTCAGAATTATTTCATCCTACATGCAGAATAAATTTGAATATTATACACAAATGTGGATACAACATTGTGCCTATTCCAAAAAAGGTTTTCAAATTATTTTATTTTATTTTATGATAAATTTTCTGTCTCCAAAATGCTACACTTGCTCATTCTAGTATTATTAAAATATAGTGGTAGTCCAACAACTTTAAAACAAAACTTCAGATACTCACATTTGCTACCTTACAGTTCCTCACCCTGAAATTCACTAGCTCCAAGACATCTCATTCCTTTGTCCACATAGTAATTCTCACTCATGTGTGTAGTCCCATCAAAATCAGTTACTCTACACTGATGTGCGTGAAGGGAATTTTACTATTAGTCATTTAAAGACCCTATTTGTATAGCATTTCTGCTTTGTTTGCCCACCAATCACAATATTTGCTTCAATATATTCCTGTTGTTATAAACAATATTTTTGTGATCTACCTCCATGTCACATTCATACATCACCTTTTCCTGAAGAAGTAAATCCATATGATGACTTCCTGATAATGGAACTCCACTTGCTCCAGATTGTCCATTTCCTGGTACATTTGTCAAGATTGAATATAAAAAATAAAAGGGGCTTCTAATGACTTGCACAGAAATTCAACACAAGAGTCTGTTCTGATTAGGATTAATGCATCTTTACCTCCCTAGTTTGTCTACAAGCATTTCCAAAGCCACCATCATTTTAGTACCTATGCTTTTTATCCAAGCAATTGCAGAATAATAATAAAATGTTATAATAAATGACATTCACTGGCATAAACAAACTATATAAACAGTGAAGTATAATATAGTTTCAAGATAAAAAAAATCCTCGGGTGGAGGAGGAGTAGATATAATGTCTGAATGTTTTTCTGAATATGCAACATTGAATAACTATGCATATACTAGCTATAATGTTATGACATATGGCACATGAATAACTATGACTATATAACCTATAACATTATGAAATACAGAATATGGATCATTTTGGCCCTGATTAAGAAAAGCATTTAAGCTTCAGTCCACCACTATTCAGGAAAGCACTTAAGCATAAGCACATGCTCAGAGCTAAGTGTAAGTCCCATTAACTTCAATGACCTTAAAAATTCAGTTAAACACATGCTTAAGTGTTTTTCTCCATCACTGCTTTTCTGTTGTGCTGGCATGATTGTGCAGCAATGCTTTTTTGTCTGAAACAATTTCAATTCAATTTGATGATATGCTGTTTAATCTTTTGTATTACTATATGTATAAAAACAAGAATAAGAAAAATAAATATTTAATTAACGTCATGCTATAGTGTTAGGGACTACAGTAGAGTTAGGGACATTACCAAGTCTTAGCTAACATATGGCCCTAAAATTTGTGGGCATGCAAATTCTTATACAATATGCCAACCATGGTTAAAAACTTGGTTCAGCTTTTCCAGTTGTATTTGGGTTTAAACCCTCTAGAACCTTTCCTTAGCCATGACATTGTCCTGTTCTTTACACTTAGAAAATATATGCAAGATATGGCTCTATTTTTAACTCACTCCCAATGAGAACGGCTGATAACCACAGATCAAAAGAGAAAACAAAGTTACTCCAACCACCAGATGTAACAGTTGAATGTATCACCAATGGAAAACACAGTAAGTAGTAACAGAGCAAGTTACACTTTCATAGAACCACAGGACTGGAAGGGACCTCGAGAGGTCATCTAGTCCAGTCCCCTGCACTCATGGCGGGACTAAGTATTGTCTAGACCATCCTTGACAGGTGTTTGTCTAACCTGCTCTTAAAAATCTCCAATGATGGAGATTCCACAACCGCCCTAGGCAATTTATTCCACTGCTTACCCACCCTGACAGTTAGGATGTTTTTCTTAATGTCCAACCTAAATCTCCTTTGCTGCAGTTTAAGCCTGCTGCTTCTTGTCCTATCCTCAGAGGTTAAGAACAACAATTCTTCTCCCTCCTCCTTGCAACAACCTTTTATGTACTTGAAAACTAAACAGCAATTCTATACTATGAACCTGATCCAATGCCCACTGAAGACAATGCAACAACTCCATCGACACTGGATTGGGTCTGCATGCCTAATTCTCCTGTCACTTGCCAATGTAAGTCAGAAGTATCTCCAACAAGGTCAGTGGACCTGTGAAACTAGTGTGAGAGGAGAATCGGTCCTGTCAATCCTTCTGTAGACTGACAAGTAGATACATGTGAAAAAACATCATTTTGCATGGAAGTCATGATCAACTTTACTACTGTGCAATGCTATATAAAGGGTTAATAATGAAAGCACCAAAAAATACCTTGTCTGACTGCAGTAGGCCTATTGAAAGTATCTGGAGAGAAAGAAGAAGTCATACTTCTCCCCCAAGCACTCACAGGTCTTTTTCTGTTTGGTGGATGGGGTGTAGTTCCATTTGTTCCATGTATCCAACTGTTGTGAACACTGGATGGGTGCTGAGACTGGAGGAAAGGAAGCTGAGGAGGAGCTGTTGAAGGGGTGTAAAGTTTTATCTCTGAAATTAACTGAAGCTGCCCTGGCCATGCTGTGCGATGTTTCATTGGTGGGCAAGACATCTGCAGGGGGAAAAAATGCAATCTTGTACAGAGGGTGGGAAAAAATTACTTAATACAGTGTGTGTATGTTATATATTAATACATACTGCAATATGTATGAAGAGAAGAAAAATTCAAATCAACCTGCATCACCTTGCCATTTTCAACTTTGAATTTCATCTTTCATCATGCCACCTAATCACTTAGCTTTGTTTGGTCTTTTCTAGAGAAGCAAAGTGTGCATTGTAAATGGCTTGTCTAGTTTTAGTAAAATCCAGCCACGAGGAAGTTTGTGTGGAAGGTTGGTTCTTTATGAGAGTATCCATTTTTGAGAGCTCTGATGAAGTGAGCTGTAGCTCACGAAAGCTCATGCTCAAATAAATTGGTTAGTCTCTAAGGTGCCACAAGTACTCCTTTTCTTTTTGGTCTTTTCGTAGTTCTTCAGAGTCTTCTCTAAACTATTGTCATCTACAAAATCTGCCACCTCTTGATTCACCTTTTTTCCAGATCATACAGGAATATCTGTACAACATCAATACTAGTAAAACTCACCCCGATGCTCTGTTGGCATACTTTGCTATGACAACAATTAAATGAAGTCTTTCAAACTATTCGTGTGCTTAAAGTTAGGCATGTCCTTAAGTGACTACTGGCCAAGGCCTGAGTTTCTTAATCAACTCTTGTGCAGAATTTTGTCAAGGCTTTGTAAAAGTCAAACTGGTTCTCTTTTATCCATTATATTATTGACAGGATTTAAGAATTCTAGTAGACTACAAAGCACAAATTTCCTTTACACACACAATACTGGTTTGTACCAATCATATCAAGTTTGTGGATCTTTGGAGGCAAATCTGGCTAGGTATTCATAAAGCTTGTGGTTGGGTTATGGTTTCATATGAAAACCTCTGGTCTGCATGATTTCAACCCAAAATCCTGGCATTTTGGCAAAGTTTCACTTTGAGACAATGGATGCAAACCCATGTTCAGAGAAACTGAATAAACGTTTCTACCCTGGGGTAATTGTATGAAGGAAACTATGCCAAATAAAGTGGTTAAGCAAATAGTTTGTGAGCAACAACACTGTGTTGTGGACAGGAGACTAAACTGAAGGCTATTTTCTTCAGCAGTTCTCAGACTTTTCTCTTGGTGACCCCTTTCACACAGCAAGCCTCTGAGTGCGACCCCCTTTTATAAATTAAAAACAATTTTTTTATATTAAACATTGTTATAAATGCTGGAGGCAAAGCGGGATTTGGAGGTGGAGGCTGACAGCCCACGACCCCCATGTAATAACCTCATGACCCCCGAGGGCTCATGATCCCCAGTTTGAGAACCCCTATCTTAATCTGTCATTTGGTATTCTGAAATCCCCATGAGGACACCTGGATTGAGATCAGATTTATCCAGCCTGATAGCCCTAAATGTCAGAGAAATTATGTAGGGCACTGCATGCTTATCTGTTAATTAGAGCACCTTTCAATTGTTGTAGAGATGAGCCAAAACTGAAGCTCTGAATTCCAATTCCTTTTAATTTCATGCTGTGGGTTTATATTCCTGCCCTGGAATACAAACCTGGCCTGTGGTTTCAGTCTTGGGTCAGATCCAAAATCAAGAGAGGTCTAGTTTCCAGTTTGGTTGTGACTGAATTCTGATGAAAACTGCCAAAGTCTTGTGAGCTATGATCCATCCTATCCAAACCCTATCCCTGGTTCAGCATTAAACCTGAACCCAACCCTAATCCTGAGCCACAACTAAACACTGGTTTCAGAGGAACAGCCGTGTTAGTCTGTATTCGCAAAAAGAAAAGGAGTACTTGTGGCACCTTAGAGACTAACCAATTTATTTGAGCATGAGCTTTCGTGAGCTACAGCTCACTTCATCAGATGTATACCGTGGAAACTGCAGCAGACTTTATATACACACAGAGAATATGAAACAATACCTCCTCCCACCCCACTGTCCTGCTGGTAATAGCTTATCTAAAGTGATCTTGACCCATCTCTAGAAGAAGCTGGACCTTCCACAAAGGGATGACTCCACTGGCAAACAGTAAGCATGCTGTACAACACTTCTCTTGCTACAGGACAAGTCCCAGAATTTGGAAAGGGGAGAGCCTGAGTTTATCAGCTGTATGGCCCGTGCTTTGGTCATCAGACTAGTATCCTTCCACAGAAAGGGTGAGTCAGGTATCTCTCTAGACAGCCACCCAAGTTTTCAGGCAAAGGCTAATATTGCTCCCTGGACTTCAGTGTTCCTCCAACTATCATTCTTTAACCCATCCTTTTTGGACACAGGTCTGCACTACATGACTGATTTTCCAAGCAAAGGAAGAGGCTGGACTCAAAGAATCTCTTGATTGTGGCCTAGCTGCAGCTGGAAAAATATAATCACTTTGGGAAACCAACAATATTTTGTCTGTTTTATTCTTTTAAATCTGTTTACCACTGAGGCATTAGCAATTGACTCCTCAGAGTTTATCTTTTGCTCTGTGACACTGTGGAAATATAAGAAGTACTTGTGGCACCTTAGAGACTAACAAATTTATTTGCGTATAAGCTTTCGTGAGCCAGTATGTCCCTCGGCCTGCGCCGCTTCCTGCGGCCCCCATTGGCCGGGCACAGCAAACCGCGGCCAGTGGAAGCCGCGATTGGCCGAACCTGCGGACACAGCAGGTAAACAAACCGGCCCAGCCCGCCAGGGGCTTTCCCTGAACAAGCGGTGTCCCAAGCTTGGGAAACACTGACTTAAGATGAACTGAAATACTTTTAAAATACATACAGAAAAGATCCTAAGTCTCAAACAAAATGCATGCATGAATTAAAAAATTATAAATAAAATCTGAAGCAAACAATGTGAAAATAATGTCCTCTTTTACTTACCTGCCCAGACCCAATTTCAAGGTCCAATGTTTCCCCTGCAAGAATTGATAACATCATACACACCTAAAGCAGCATTATGAATGCAGCGCCTCACTCTGTATAGGTGTTTGTGATGCTCAGATCTTGACAGGTTAAAAAAAAAAAAAGGCTTTTATTTGCCTTTAAAATGTATTTGTAATTTCAGGGCTACACATTTGTTTTGTTCAGGATTGAATAATTTAACATCTTATACAATTATAGTTAAAAAATTGTTTCACTTTTAATACTAAAAAAAGGGACAATCGTCTTTTTATATATATAGTAAGTACTTGGTGCACTGAAACTTAACCATGATTTATCCTCTACAGTGAACAATGTCAAACATCAAAACTATTATATCAAAAAGGAATCATAAAGCCTGAAGCTTTAAAAAGGCACCGTTGTGCTGTTTCTGTGTCAGTATGTATTGTACATATTTTTTTAAATGAAAATGCCTGATGTTCTGCTGTGGACAAACTTTATTTAAACAGTTTTTCTGCCACAGCATTGGAATTCTAACTGCATTAGTTCATCAAGTTGGTTTCACCACCTAGAATCAGGATTTTTCTCTTCAGTTATCAGCTCTCTGTGTATCTTTGGGGAGAAGAGTCCAAACTACTAAACTGGGCTAGGACATCCAAAATCTGCACCCGGATACTCAAATTGGCACTCTGGGACTATTATGTGTACTGAGGTGGTGCTTAGAGGCCCAAGATCAGGGCTTAATTTTGCTTGGCACTCTACACACAGCAGAGATAATCCCAGTCCCTGCCCAGAAGAATTTACAATCTAATTTATAATTTATATGTTAGTCTCTAAGGTGCCACAAGTACTCCTCGTTCTTTCTGCTGATACAGACTAACATGGCTACCACTCTGAAATCTAATTTATGTATAGGAAATGTAGCCTAGTGCTTAAACCTCAGGTTTGAGAACCAGAATTTCTGGGTTCTGCTCCTGGCTCCTCCACTGATTCACTCTGCGACCTTGAATAAGTCATTGAACAGCTCCCTGCTTCAGTTTCCCTACCCATACAATAGAAGTAATGCTTCCTTAATTTACAGGGGGCATATGAGGTTTAATTATTATATGTTGGTAAAGCACTTTAAGATACTGTGATGGAATGAGTTATAACCGTGCAAAGTGTTAATATAAATGTGCATTTTGTGTGCCCAATGTTAGTCTGAGTGATAGAATATGTCACCCCATTAAATCACCCATTTTGGAAAGTTAGGCCTTGACTATTTATTTGAAGTGCAGCATTTCTATGTTTGCAATATGGGAATACAAACTATTGCGACATCCTTTGCTACTTGCTGCATTTGAGCACTCCTTCCCAAATTCTGGAGACATGTCTCCAAAGACAAGCCTGAATCTATCAGATTGTTTTTTATCCTATTCAAGGAAGATTTCTAGATCTCCAATTTCTTGAGATCTTCAAGACCCAGAGCAATAAAAGTATTACAGGTTCTTATCAATTCCTTCCCATATAAATTGCCTGAAATCTTGGTGATACTAGCTGACTGTCCGGTGACAGGAGTACTACAGTTCCTTTTTTAATGTCATTTCCTATACATGTGAATGCTTTTATTTTACACTGTGTTCAAGAGTTGTGGTGTGACATGGTGTCTTTGCTGGATGCCTGTCTCATGTTAAGGACATGAATGATACTATTGCTAATAAAGTAATCACATATAATCCAGGTATACTTTTGAGTTTGAAAGCGCAAATTTTTAAGCGCAATTTTCAAAAGGTAACCGTTTTTATAATCTGTTATTTTTACCATTTAACTTTTGAAAACACATCGTGATAAGGGAATTTTCCAGTTTGGATACTCTGTACTTCTGAAGAAGAATCAGAAAAAACTGGAGATATTTCTGAGTTTTCTAGAGGCTTAACTTTTCTTGTCCCTAGTGCATTTGGGGGCGGAGAAAAAGCCAGGAGGTTATACAACCTCTCAATGAAGGGCCTGAGATTGTGCAGCAGGTGGAGCTAAAGACCTCTTATTTTCCAATTCCCTCTCACAATGAATCCAAGAACATTTCTTTCCCCCTCTTTTGAGAGAGAAAGCGTCTCAAACGGAAAACAATTTGCCTCACTACCATATCTAGCTATGCTGACTTTTTGAAAAATAAAATGTTAAAACCTGAGTAAGATGTCTAGGCTGTGATTAAAGTACAATTATCATACTTTATTTCTGAAAGAGTCTCTCTGTTTGAGATGCATGCCCTATACCTAGGGCCCTACAAAATTCATGGTCCATTTTGATCAATTTCATGATCATAGGATTAAAGAAATCGTAAATTTCATGATTTCAGCTACTTAAATCTGAAATGTCATGGTGTTGTAAGGGTAGGGATCTTGACTCAAAAAGGAGCCTGTGTGTGTGTGTGGGTGTCACAAGGTTATTGGAGGGGGGTTGCAGTACTGCTACCCTTACTTACTACACTGCTGCTGGTGATGCTGCTGCCTTCAGAGCTGGGCCGCTGGAGAGCAGTGGCTGCTGGCTGGAAGCCCAGCTCTGAAGACAGAACCACGCCCAGCACCTGCGCAAAGTAAGGATGGCCTGGTATGGTGTTGCCACCCTTACTTCTGCACCGCTGACTGCAGAGCTGGGCCCTCAGTGAACAGCTGCTGCTCTCTGGCCACCCAGCTCTGAAGGCAGCAGCACAGAAGTAAAGGGTGGTATCATATTGTATTGCTGCCAGCAGCGCACTGCCTTCCTTCAGAGCTGGGTGCCTGGCCAACAGCTACTGCTCTCCAGCCACCCCAATCTAAAGGCAGGGCAGAAGTAACAGTGGCAATACCGCAACCCCCCCTAAAATAACCTTGTGACTCCCCTGCAATTCCCTTTTAGGTCAGGACCCCCAATTTGAGAAACGCTGGTTTCCCCATGAAATCTGTATCATATAGGGTAAAAGTACACAAAAGATGAAATTTCACAGGGGGAGACCAGATTTCATGGTCAGTGACACATACCTACCTATACCTAAAACAGGGTTTACAGCTGGAACCGGCAATATCTCTCAATGCAATAAAACCTTTTAAAGTACACCCACTGTACTAGTTAAGGAAGTGAGTATCAGAGAAGGGGAACATGCAAAGAGAAGGATGAGGGGGAAAAACAGAAGGAAGAGAAAAGAAGCTCCTTGGGCACGGACCATTGTTTTGTGCTGTTTGTACAGCACCTAGCACAATGGGATCATAATGGAGGGGCACACAGAACCCTTAGTGTCAGGCCTGGATTAACCAATATGCACTGGGTGCACTTGCACAGGGCTCCCATCTCATGGAGTTCCTCAGCCACCAGAAAAAATAAACAGGGTCAGAAAGGGGGCAGGGCATCGCAGACATGGGGCATTGCCTGAACACTGTGAGGAGAGCCAATGGGCTGGATCAGGGAGCTAGGCCAGCACTACAGCACAGAAGCTGCTGGGGGTGAGTTTGGGGTGAGCTCACACTCCAACACCCCCCATGGCTTCGCACCTAGCACCAGAGGCAGGACCAGACACCCTCCCTGGGGCCTTTCATTCCCCTGGCAGCAGGAAAGATGGGGGACCCCCAATTGTCATAGTGCAGAGGGCCTCTGTTGGTGGTGGTGGGAGACTGATGGAGCCAGTGTGAAAGAAGGAGAAGCATACAGACCTCCTGCCATAGGGGAAAAGGCAGGGAGGGATGGGGATGAAAGGCATATGGGGAAGTGAAAATGGAGATAAACCCAGAGCCACTGGTTTGTGTGGGGGAGAATGGGAGAACCTGGAATGACAGAACAGGAGAAATGGGAGGCACACAGATCCCCTGGTGCTGGCAGAAGTGACACAGAGTCCCTGAAACAGAGGAGGATGGGAAGGCACCAAACAGCGAGTTGTGGAGTGAGAAATGGAGGTATGCAAGGAGTCCCTGGTGTGTGACCCTCTAGTACATAATAATACTGAAAATGAGTGAGAACTACAAGGTGAGGGATGGAAAAAAGGACCAGAAATGCAGACATTACAAGAGGTAGAAACATGAGAGAGGGAAACAACTAATAAAATAAGCAGAATTTTTTAGCTTTTGTTTTTCTGGTATATTAATATAGTAATATGTTTGGGTTTTAAATGTAACCAAATACATAGCTATTGGAGGCTTATTTCACACTGTAGCTTGATGTCAAAGGGAGATTTACCTGAGAAATGAGGTACTGAACAGGACCAAGGAAATGGTCATTTGGTATAGTCACATGATTAACAAATCCAGTCAGACTTCCGCAATTTCAGCCCATTTTTTACTAAACATTTCACTCCATTCTTTGTATCAATATATTTACTTTTATAAATAAGGAGTGTTGTCCATTGCTCAGTTCTAGATTTTACACATCTGTCAGGTTCCACTCTGCATTATTCTTACATTGGCATAAGAGGGTGAACAAATTAATTAAAAAAGGAATTTCTAAAAGGTCTTGGGTGAAAACTCCTCAAAGGGGCCAGAATGTCACCCCTGGAGCAGACACTCATATGCAGCTACCTTACAAAATAGGAAGATGTTATCCACTCATGGGACATTACCTGAGAAGTGTTTTCTATCACTAGCTCATAGGATGTTCCTCCTGAACCAAAGCGCAGAATATCCCCTGCACCCACTTTCACTGCTGCGTTCTGTATATGGCAATCATTAACGAAAGTGCCATGAAGAGAGTTGAAATCTTGAAGAACAAAGCTGCTTTCTGAATCACTGAATTCAATGACTGCATGGTGATCTTCAATACCTATAGACTGAAATTAGATAACAGTTTCAGAAATCAGTGCAAAGAATTTCCCAGAGTTATGGATCGCAATGGGGATTTTGCTGGGATTTATTTTGCTTTGTCTCATCTGGCTAATTTCATACCATAATATGTTTTGGCTCAGAGGTAGTCAAAATGGCTGCTGATTCCTCATCTATTATGCAAGATACAGTATTTTTTTTTTATTTTGTTCAATGGCTAGATTTTTTTTTAAAAGCTTCACATTTTTGCATTTTATAAGTCAGACAGGTCATCTGAATAGGTACCAAAACATACAAGATCCCAGCAATAAAAATGGATAACTGATCATAGAATCATAGAATATCAGGGTTGGAAGGGACCTCAGGAGGTCATCTAGTCCAACCCCCTGCTCAAAAGCAGGACCCATACCCAATTAAATCATCCCAGCCAGGGCTTTGTCAAGCCTGACCTTAAAAACTTCTAAGGAAGGAGATTCCACCACCTCCCTAGGCAACGCATTCCAGTGTTTCACCACCCTCCTAGTGAAAAAGTTTTTCCTAATATCCAACCTAAACCTCCCCCACTGCAACTTGAGACCATTACTCCTTGTCCTGTCCTCTTCCACCACTGAGAATAGACTAGAACCATCCTCTCTGGAACTACCTCTCAGGTAGTTGAAAGCAGCTATCAAATCCCCCCTCATTCTTCTCTTCCGCAGACTAAACAATCCCAGTTCCCTCAGCCTCTCCTCATAACTCATGTGTTCCAGACCCCTAATCATTTTTGTTGTTGATGTTACAGAAAGATGCATATGATAATAATGAAGGTATGATTTTAAGAACTTTTCCCTCCCCCTTGCTTCTTGTGATCTTTCTCTATAGCATATTATTTCATATCCAACCTAGGCCCCAATACTACAGACACTTAAAACATGAGTAACTTTTTTGCACATTTAGTACTTCCATTGAACTCAGTGGGACTACTACTCACATATGCAAATATTTGCAGTATCAGGACCCTAGATTGTAAGCTACTTGGAGCAAGAACCTGTCTTTTTTCCTCTCTGTAGTGTAAAGCATCCTTGACACTTACTGTAGAGTGCTACACTAATGTATGCTCATGGTTTAAAAACCCTCCTGTGTAGAGACATCTGTGGTTTTTAGTAAACTAATCTCAGAAAAGGAACGATTTTTAATTGTGATCTTAAACTTAATCACAGATGAAACAGCTGTAAAATGACATTCTGATCCAACCCTTATTCACATAGGGCTTGATTCAAAGCCCACCAAAGTCACAGGACAGATTCCCATTGACTTCAATGGGCTTTGGATCTAGTCCCCAGCACTACTGAGGTATAATTTTCTATAATACCCTATCCTTTTCTAAGTGTTAGAGCTAGTTCATGTATGAACACCTGTAATGATGGTTCTTAGGCAACCTCCTTGGCAAATTAGTGAGTTGTCTAATTGAACTGGTGGTTCCTAATGTCTATGTTAAGTTTTCCTTTTTTTAGGAGGCTGTTTTCAGGCTGTTGCTTCATGTTATATGACCCTAACCCATATCAAATAATTCCTCTCTCTTTTGGTTGTCTAACTTAAATATTTAAACAGGTTCTCTAATTGCCATTTCATCCCTGTTGCTCTAAATGAAATCAAATAAATCACTGCTGACTAAGAAAGACTGGAATTATTATAAATGGGGTAATGAAGTTAAGTAAGAATAACTGCTGTAAAGAATAATAATGAAAATAAATTTTATGCTTATACCTTCAGAACGAGATCTGAATCTTCATGTCTTCCTATAGTAGTTACTTTTGCTCTCAGCATAAAAACACCATCTGAACTTTTTAAAAAGGCTTTCATTGTCTCTTCTTTTTATCTGTAAGGTTTTATTTTTTAAAAAAACTCAATTTCTAAGTGTTATCCAATGCACTTTTGCAATTACTACAGTCAAAACATTTTAAATAGCTTAAATGAACAGTATCAAATAACATAGAAGAAATATCGTAATTTATTTACAGGGATGCTGTCAGATTGAAATTAAAATTAAAGACAAATTCTCTACCCTGTATAACTAAAAAAAAAAAATTTAAAACAAATTTTCAAGACAGCCTGAGAGAGTTAGGCATCCATTTATCATTAAAATTCAAATCCCATCCTAAGACAGAAAGAATTTTAAATATCTGATTTACTTTTTATACCATTCATGCTATTTGGATACTTTCAGAACTTCATTTTGAGACTGAGAGGCATCTAGAGACTGGTCAAGTTCAGTTTCTCGGTCACTAACAGATGCTGCAATGTTTGGGTTTCATGCAGGGTGAAAATATTTAGATCCAAACAAGGAAATGCTTTTATTGACCTTTTTAAAACATCATTACCAATATTTCTTTGTAAATTTGTTTCCCCACTTGCAACCTAGACTAGCTGACAGTGTCACTTTAGGAGGTCTAACATTCACAACAGGGTGAGAAATTTGTGTATCCTCTGCAAAATTGGTATCCTATGCAGCTGACATCACACCAAAAAGATCACTACCTCCCACAGTGAATTTCATCTGTAAAATATCAATTCTGCTTAAAAACTTTGTGTTCAGTCCTGCAAGTGCCCTATGCACAGAACTCATACTTCTGCTGGTATAAGTTCTGCACATCATTTTGAAATGCATTTCACAGTTCATCAGTGATGTGCTACCAATTTTAAACAAGGTTCTCCAACAACCATTTGCCCACGTAGCCTATGACAAATCCTCCGTTCAAGAAGCACTGGAGAAACTATTCATTTGTATTCCACTATATACAAACATACCTTTTATATCCATAGACAGGAATGAGAATAACACCAATTAGCAAACAAACTAAAGCTACACATCATTGGAAAAGCTTGTACTATGATACTGAAAATTACACAGCAAATATTGAGAGTGCAGCAGAGTTTAATATGTATAATTTGAAGGAGGGCATGAAGAGCTGTTAAGGTCTCCAAATGTAAAGCTACATGCACTAACCTAATATATCATCATTGGATCCATTGCTGGAAAGCAGAGAGAGTGGTTTGGGAGTCAATGCTGCCCCACTTCCTCTCACGAGGCTGTGGAAAAGCAGAAGGGCGGCAGCTTATGTGGCGTCCAAGGGATACATAATCATGCAAAAATCATGTGGAGAGAGGATATTCTAGGATATGTGTACCTGCAAGGGAGGGCTATATCTCAAGTTTCTACAGAAAAGTGGTCAGAGTTCAAGGGGCCATTGGTTCCTCTGGACAATGGTTCTCAACCAGGGGTACATGTATCCCTGGGGGTACACAGAGGTCTTCCATGGGGTACATCAACTCATCTAGCTATTTGCCTAGTTTTACAGCAGGCTACATAAAAAGCACTACCAAACTTAATATAAATAAAAATTTCAAACAGACAATGACTTGTTTATACTGCTCTATATACTATACACTGAAATGTAAGAACAATATTTATATTCCAATTGATTTATTTTATAAGTATATGAAAAAATGAGAAAGTAAAAGCAACTTTTCAGTAATAGTGTGCCATGACACTTTTGTATTTTTATGTTGATTTTGTCAGCAAGTCGTTTTCAAGTGAGGGGAAACTTTGGGGTACATAAGACAAATCAGACTTCTGAAAGGGGCATAGTAGTCTGGAAAGGTTGAGAGCCATTGGCTCAGGATAATGTGTGGGGGAATTCTGGGCTTTGGGTAGTAGAAGGGCAATAACCAAGGGTGAGAAGGGAAACTAGCAAGCAGAGCATGGTGATGAATCACTAGACTGCTTATTTCTTTGCTTTTTACGGTGCATTGGTGTCTGTCAACCTTAACTCAGTTGTCCTGCTCTAACTATAATTAAAATGAAAAGGAGTACTTGTGTTACCTTAGAGACTAACCAATTTATTTGAGCATAAGCTTTCGTGAGCTACAGCTCACTTCATCGGATGCTCATGAAAGCTTCTGCTCAAATAAATTGGTTAGTCTCAAAGGTGCCACAAGTACTCCTTTTCTTTTTGCGAATACAGACTGACACGGCTGTTACTCTGAAACCTATAATTAAAATGGTACAACTCCCCTAGTGGGGATTCAGCTATACTGGTATAAATGTGCTTATACCAGGACAGCTTATTCCTATCAGGAAGTGGAATAATAATCTATAACAGAATAAGGCATCATTGAATGGGTATAACTGTGTCCACACTAGGTGTTTGACAAGTATAACTATATCACACCCCCTACCAGATATAGTTATCCCTGTACATAATCTCGTGCATAGGCCTGGCCTTAGTTTTGAAGCTGTTTGTGTGGCGATATGCTGGATCTCACACACACTACCGCACCTATTGTTTGTAACCCTTTGTGTAGAGTTGCAGCCTGTGTCCCTGGCAGATTTCTAGCCCACCCGCAGAACATCCTGTACCGTACTGCACCAGGGAGTCTCAGAAACAACACTTTATCCTCCGCAGAGCCCTTAATCGCGTGGCGATGGCTTAGCACAGGGCACCGTTCCTCTCCACAAGGCCCTTGGGGGCAAGAGGGATGCCACCGACATGGATTTCTTGGGTAAGTGGGCACCTCGCCCGGGGGTGGGTGGGAAGGGGCGGGCACCCCTGTGGAGCTCCATGGGAGCCTGGCACGATGCAGGCAGTGGAGTTAGTGGGATTACTGCACGAGGAGGCCCCTCACATCGGCGGGGGTCGTGCCGAAGGAGACTGGCCATGCCAGTGGGAGCCTTGCCCGGTGTATCCTCGAGGTCAGTGGCGGCCTGGCACAAGGGCGTGCCTGGGGTCAGTGGGGTCCCTCGGGGCAGCGGGAGCCTCGCCGGGTGGAGGTGGCAGGGCCCCAAGGAGACCAGTCATCCCAGAGGGGGCGAGGGGAGTCTTGCCCCTCAGGCCAGAGGGGGTCTGCTCCATCTTGGGCCCCCTCGGGAGTCCCTGCAATAGCCCCTCGGGCTGGGCCGTGCACTGGGGCGCCCGCAGCCCCAGCTCGCCCCCACTCACCAACGCTGCCGAGGCCGCTGCCGGCGCTAGGGCCCCGGGGGCGTCCCCTCGTCGAGCCAGGCCGCGCCTGGTCCGGCCTGAGGCGGTGCTAGGCCTCTTGTGTTACCCGGGTCGCCGAGGCAACCGAGGCGGAGGCGGAGCGGGGAGGCCGCCCCGGCGCTCGGGGCCGGGGCCGGGCAGGCACCCGGCCGGCCCCCCACGGCCTAGGGCTGCACCCCCGAGCGGGCGGCGTGGGCGGCAGGCCCCAACCCTGGCGCTGTGCTCGGGGCGGCCGCCGCGGCCCGGGCTGGGACCCACACACCGCGGGTGGCAGCCAGGCTGGGGCTAGGGCCTTGCTCTTGGGGAGGGCAAAGGGGAGAGACGACGTGGGCCCAGCTCCAGGGCTAAGCGCAGGCAGCGCTGACGGGGTGAGATCGAGGGGGGGCCTCACCCTTTAGCGGCTCCCCGCCCAGGGCCCCCCTTTTGAGTGACAGTTTTTCGGGGACAAAATAGTGAACAAGGAACGGGAAAACTACAGCGCCAGGTGAGGCCGCGAGGGGAGGGGGATGTAGGGTGACCAGATGTCCTGATTTTATAGGGACAGTCCCGATTTTGGGGTCTTTTTCTTATATAGGCTCCTATTATCCCCCCCCCCACACACACACACAAACACCCTGATTTTTCACATTTGCAGTTTGGTCACCCGAGGGGGATGAGCCCTACTAATAAAACGTGGGACTTCAAAAGGGGTCATAATTATAAAGATTACACGGTGCAGGGACTCGGCCCCTGTGCTTGGAAGTTGTATTCCTTCTCCTCCCCCCCCCCCCCAGTCTTTGGGGGAGAAGAGGGGTGCTGTTTCAGATTGTAAGGTTTTCAGCCCAGAGCCCTTCACCTCTGCTAAGAACATTAGAACGGCCACACTGGGTCAGACCAAAGGTCCATCGAGCCCCTCAACCTGTGGCCAATGCCAGGTGCCCCAGAGGGAGTGAACAGAACAGGTAATTATCAAGCGATCCATCCCCTGTCGCCTGTTCCCAGCTCCTGGCAAACAGAGGCGAGGGGCACCATCCCTGTCCACTTTGGCTAATAGCCATTGATGGACCTATCCTTCATGAATTTATCTAGTTCTTTTTTGAACCCTATACGTTTGTATAGCACCTAACCGACTTTGGGCACCACCCTACTGTAAATAATAATCAACTAACCACAATTAGGGCTTAGGTGGACCTGCCTGCTGCGCAAGAACAGAACATCCTTGTGTAAACACAGCTCGTTTTCCCATCTAGACCTTATCGTCTATACCTGATTCTATAATACCTCTGTGGGCTAGGGGAAAGAGCTGTTTTAGAAACAAACACGCAAACAAAACAACCACAAGTAACCTGCATGTGAAGAGGCATACAGAAATTAGACAAACTTAACAATCAAAAAGACAACTTAAAAAACAAACAAACAAACAAAAAACAAGGGCTAAAGTCTGCCCTGATTACACTCCATGCAATCCTATTAACTTCAACAGTCAAGTGCAGATCAGGGCAGAATCTAGTTCAAAATTAGATACAGAAAAAAAATCCCAATAACTTTGCCTTACCTATTAAAAACAATACTTTCACAATCCAGAAAAGTACAAGTTCAAAGTAATTACTTGAGTTTGTACATTGTGATCATACATGACACTGTTTAATCCACATTTTTTGAGAATTTTTTTAACCTAGACTCCATAATGTACAATAACTGGTTTAAAAGAAATAATTTTGTTCCTAAAGTCTCGCCATTTTGACAGACATTTTTCTGATGTCAGTTTTGCAAACCACAATTTCTTAACTGAGAGCAATTCTTCTGGCAACACAATTAGAAAGCAGGATAACTTGTTCCTGTAGAACAAGTCTGAGCACACAGTGCCAGTAATTTTCTTTTTATTTCTTTTGAAGGCGTATCAGTTTTCTTGCTTGGTTTACAAATACCTTTTAAAAATATATTTTACATTTCCACTATTACATTGTTTTCATTTTTTGCATTTCTTAGTTCAGAGGAGGAAAAGTAGGTTTAACTTTTCCAAGTTATATTGTCAGATGGTATTATATATTCCTTTATATAAGCTATTTCCACTGAATTTTCTTAACAGTAGAAAAAATTCTTTTTAAATAAAACCAAATTTTTGGCTGTAAATTGATCCAACTCTCTAGCTCATTCTTTCCCTTTTACATCCATTCTAGTTCTTGATTGAAACTTTAAAAAAGTGCTTACAATGAAGTCCTGTTATTTTACTCTGGCTAGAAAACATCAGATGACATAGCTCAGCTCAGCTTGCTTTAATTCTGTGTCTGTGCTGGCCAAGAAACTAACCTTTCTAGCAATAGTATTTAAGATCAGTTCTTGCTAGAAACATGCCTTATGTGGAGTTTGAAAATTGACTTATGAAAACATATTCCCTTTGTGCTACAAACATTATCATCATCCAGAATGTTTTAGGAGATAAGAATAGCATAGAAATTAAAAAAGCTTAGAGGCCTACAGATAATGAAGGTAGCTGTTGTCTAACTGACTCACATCAGGGATCAGACTTGGACAAAGGAACTGTGGAGTTTTACTGTATTACCCAGAAACCAATATCCACGTCTCACAACTTTCAGGACTTGTGATGGGCGTTGCAGCTAGCCAACTGACATAATGATGCAATACTCAAGCGTACAGTTTGCGGGTGAGGTTATAGCCACCACAGATGTATGCACCTATAAAGGTCAGGTACAAAGCATAATTGTGTGTGTTTGGTTAATGAACTTTATAGCTTTTGTGATACCAAAGAAAAATTCTGCAACCACTTTTTACAGGTATTAAGAGGAATAGAACTCCTGTTTTACTACACATGCAGTCTTTCAGTATCTTGCATTGTACCCATTTGGATTATTACAATCCCTGGTATAAATGGGAGCAACTCCATTGGCTTCAGTGGCTGGACACTTGCTTAAAGCAGGTCTGAATCTGACTCAGAATTCTTGACGTGTTTACATGTGGGGCTTATATAAAGTCAGAACAATCGTATGATTTATACCTTTTTTCCTGTATATGCACAGCATAGCTTAAGATCTTGTTTCTTGGGGGTGTTCTACTTCCTTTTCAGATTTGGTCTTAACTCATTTTGACTTTTTGTCTCATTCTCCCATAGAAAATGTGACCCTTGATTAGTTCATACACTATGATGAACCATATCCAAGTGGCTGTTGTGGAACAAGAATGTTCACCCAGGCTTGATTTTGTTATCTTTTTTCTTGACTATTGCAGTCTGTGGTCCCCAGGTTATTTCCCAAGGAGATGGAGTAATAGAGTCCCTCTACTCCAATACTATGCAGAATGATTTAGTATAATCATCTTAATTAGCACACCTACTCAAAAGAGAAGCATATCATATAAATGACAATAGCCTATGCTAATTAGGACAAATATTTGTGCTGATTAATACTCGTTTGCTGTATTTCATTAATTTCTGTTTTTTAATCCATTAACACATATTAGATGTTTTATGGCACAGCTGACTAATCTGTCACAATAGATTTGGGAAGTGAACAGATTTTTTTGCTAGCAAACACCCAAATCATACATGGTAGTTGCTGGAAATAGGCAGATAGATACTACCACCCATTGTTCAAAATCATTGAAATGCACTACCTTGGAGCTGCTCTCCCTAGCAATTATCCAGATTAAATGGGTGTGTCATATTTGATGTAGATTTAGTATATCTTACCTCGGAGTCAACTCTGTCCATTTGCTAGCACCAACACATAGCTGGTGTTTCCTTCAGCAACAGCCCTGCGGTTGTTTCTTTAATGACCCAATGCTGCTCCCAGTGGAAGAACCCCCACTGAGTCTTGGAGGGAGCAGGATTCAGCCCTCTGTGCCTAGGCAATCTTTTGATATAGAGAAAGGGAATTACAGTAGTCACCAAAATTGGGCGGCGGGTGGGCGGGGGAGACTTGCTTATGATGTGGATTAAAAAAAAAAAAATCATAGAGTACAAACTAAGTGTCAGACCTAAAAAGCCAGTTTAGGAAGAAAATGACAAGACTATGCTGAAGAAGGATTACTTTGTAGTCAAGAGACTGTCCCTTAAAACTTGAGTGGCTTCACAGCCAAACTGGCTTCACAGCCAAAGAAACAGATTATCCTCAAACAGTATCTGCATTTTGGGGGGTAGCTTTATTGACCCTGCAAAAGGGCCGTTCAAACTGTCTCATTTTTCCAGAGATCATCTGCCTTTTCACAAAAGTGGTTGAGGGTCACATTTGTTGCTCAAGAGCAACAGAGCAAGCAACTAGCTGACTGGACTGGAATTTGAACCTGGGCTGCTCCTTCTTAGCCCTTGAGCTTTAATCATTACTGCACGCTCCCCTCCTCTTCCTCAGTTTTAGTTCAGTAAGATATAGTGCTCCAACCTTGATCAGAAATTGCCAGAAATCAAGCTAGAATGGGCAAGGGGTAATTATCTGTTTGAGAGACCTGGGTTGGAAAGGAAGGTGCCCCCTTAAGGAAGAGGGTCAGGTTTCAATCACTTTACTGTACCAACAATTTCTTACATTACTGCTCCTTTGGAAACTAGGAGCAGAAGGTTTAAACTAAGGGCCAAAATCTGGACTTCAGTGGGGTTGCTTGGATACAACACAGCAAGATTTGGCCCTTAGCATAAACAAAATAGCACCCATTCTATTATTTTCCATTTGAATGTGGAAAACTAGAAAGTTTGAATCACAGACAAGGATTCCAAAAGTCGTGCCTTCTTAGAGCTGCATATGGATAGGTGCAGTGATACACAAATCAGAATGTGCTTGCAAACAGGAACATAGGGTACTGGGAAAGCTTTTCCCTATAGGATATTTTAAAATCTTGTTCAAGTGGGTCTTCCCTACCAGACACAAAAATGAGACAACTCCCTCCTCCACTCAACTCCAGAATAGATGTCACTGAATGGTAGGCATTGCAAATCAGTGAAATATTATAAAAAGACTGATGTCTGACAAGGAGCAAGGCTCATTCCACTCTAGCTGGGGCCAGCTTCTGCGTACAGAGAATATGCCTCAGTAACATCTATATGTAGCGTGATCACTGAAGCGTTCGTCACGTTTTCCAAACACCAAGCTGGAAGAAAAGCCTCTTTTCTAGCTTATTTTTACTATTAGATAAAGTCTAGTGTAGCAAAGAGTGCCTGAAGGAGTTTGCATCAAAATTGCCCTGTGACAGGAGACATCCGTTAACCTTGCAAGTGTTACATAATTAAACTTAATGTTGCATTTACATCATACATACTAGGGCATAGCATTGTCTTATACAGGCCATCCACATTATTTGAGTGCATTCTACCTTCTTAATGTTGTATTCTCTGCCTTATATCACGTCACCACATTCATCAATGCAAGTGCTTTCTTCTCAGCTGCATCACCAAACAGTTGAGACCATTACCAGGAAGAGGCACCGGAGGAACTGGCTGATTTTGGCTGGCCAAATGCCAGAGCAAGTGCACTTAAGCATGCCAGAGACATAGGGATCAAGCTTGAGTTTGCATGTTGAGGACTTCTACTCTATGAGTTCAGAAAAGTTTATCTTCTGACCCATACAGGTATGCATATTCCCTCATATGGCATCACAACTTGAGTGAGCATGCTTTTGTAATCTTTGTGGCCTTACTAAAAACCCGAAGAGCGATTGTGTGCTTCAAAGTTGCTGAAACTGCCATTTTCCAAGCTAGAATGGAAAGAGAACATTTTGCCCTACATTTCTTACAGCCCCTGATTAAAGTACCTGTGTTGTTCCCATTTACAACACACACATACACACAAAACATTTATTTAGAAAAAGTCTCCAATTGCTCAGCATATTCAATGCTAACTTAAAACAGAACATTAAACATTTTTGAAGTGGCACAATGGAGTAGATACCAACTGAATGAATTTACAGGTTAACCTTAAACACTCTCCCATCACACTGGAACACCAAAACCCATCTTCTCCCCTATGGTTGTCAGTGCTTAGAAAGCTTCTCACAGGCATCATGAGTACTGCTGAAAGGATTAAATAAATCTGATAGTTCAAAACTGTCATTTCATTCAATAGATTTCACAGCATGACAATGAAGTGTTACAAAATGCAGACTTGCTTTCTTCAGTTATCTCGACTCCATTTTAATGGAAGTGGAGAAAGCCACAACGTTGTTTGGTTTTTCTGACGTGGAAGAAGAGAAACTAAAAAAAAAAAAAAATTACTTTTCCTTTTCTACTTTTAAAATTATTGGTAAAAAAAGACAATTTAGTGGCTTAAAAAATATAGTGTAGAAAAAAGAATTATAAGAGAGGCATACAATGTACTTCCTTGCTATCTGGTACTTGCTATGTGGCTTTATCTGGTACTTCCTTGCTATCTGGTGCTTTATCTGGGACATCATCATACTGTGGAGGAGGGGTCAATGGTTCTATTGTTATTTGACCTGAAGTGTTTCTATCTGGAAGGTTTATTCGGAAGTCCTTTAGGTGCAGCTTATCAGACTTAATTCTCCGAATTTTCAGGGGTTTCAGTCGTTTGTTCAAGCGAGAGCTGTGCCTGCTTGGCTGACGCTGTATGTTCGTATCGACATTTACGGTGGTTGTAGTTGGTGTATTTTCATCAATCCCAGTTAGAGATTCATAAGAGGGCAGAGACATGCTGATCCTGGTGTTTCTGTCCAATTCTCTCATCTCAGGATAGCCCGCGTTCATAACCTCCTCATAACTGGGAACATAGTATCGCGACGGTGTCTCATCATCCTCTTCTTGACTGTAGGAGACAATTTTAATACTGTCAGTATGCTAAGCCATTTCAGCTGCATTTCTGGTCACTCAAATTTTGGGACCAGAAATACATGATGATACAATATAAATTTCTACAGCACATTTCATCCCAGGATCACAAAGTGCCTTACACGCATTAGTTAAATCTCCAACATCCCTGTGAGCAAGGATTATTATCCCTATTTTACAGTTGGAAACTGAGGCACAGAAATTGTGACTTGCCCCATATGTGACAAATTCATTTCCAGGGTGGGAATGCAATGCAGGAGTATGGTTCACAGTTCCCTGCTCTTATCACGGGGCCACGGTAATGTTTTAGGGTGTAAATCTGAGTTCAAAGTATCCATATCGAAGTAAAAATTAAGATCTTGGTGGTGTCACACAGTAACAAGTTGGGTTCTTATAGCAATGATTGTAGACTCAGAAGTTAGAAGTGGAAAAGATCTGTTTAGGACATCTAGTTAACCCTCTCTCACTCTCCGTTAAACTTTCTGGAGAAATCTGTAGGTGTAAACGGATTACTTTGATCTATCATATGGCTGTGTATACTCTGAAAAAGACAGCAAAGACACTTTACACATTGCCTTATATAGTCTAGTGTGTCATTGAAATGAGCAGGCCAAGAACATGAGTATGCATTTTTTTCCCATCTTTAGTTAGTTTCCAGATACAGAAGTCCCAATCTGCTTGCAAGTCTGTGACTGTGTGGCAGGAATGGGGGAATACTAACAGCCAGGACTCACTGCAATTGACAATTCACTTTACCCATCTAAAAAAAAAATCACATTTGTAAAACCCTTCACCATCCTCAGATGAGAAATGCTATGTTCAATTGCCAAGTGTTAGAATTTAAAATTATTCTGCAACTAACATTCAATCAACTGTTCAATGTAACACCATCCCACTCAAGTTAAAAAAAAAAAAAAATCAAGGAAGGAACAGACAGGAGGAGTTACCGTTGCATCTTTACATTGTTTAAATACCAGACTGGAAACGCCAGATTTTCTTTCCTTTGTGAAACTGACTATAGCACCATTATTTTGACGTTAAGGTGCCTTCTCATTGCCCTATGACTAACAAGTTACAGATCAGGCATCTTTCATTAATTATTCCTTGTTTCTCTGTTCCATTTCCCACAAATAGAGATATCAGAACAGTGATTCTCTTCCAACAGACAGGTGAAGAATTATCCTAACATCTTCCTTGCCAACTGTACCACTCAACTGGAATTAATTTAGAGGGACATCATTTAATGCCTTTGTAATTAAGGTAAGGTATAATCACGTAAACCTGGTTATTTTTTTTTCCCTTTTGTTTTTTCTTTTTCTGCTGGGGGGGGGGGAGGAGTTAGGAGAGAGGAATTCTGTTAGCTACTATAAATGGACATTGTGCCGATCTGTAACGTGGGTATCTACATGTAGTCTGCGTAAGTACAAAGTCTGCATTTTATTAGCATTAGTAAGTTTCCCTTCACATAATCGGTTATAGCACAAGAAACTTCTCTGCAGATTCTGTCATTCTTTAATTACCTTAGGGTTTTCTATAGCTCCCATCATGGTACTTTCTAATTAAATGAAGCTAGAGAGTTGCCGTCTCATACTCTCTTGTTACATATTTCATATGAAAAGCCTCTTTCCCTTCTTCAGAGGGAGTGAACAGAACATTGCAATTTATCTAGTGATGCCCTTTTGTCCACTCCCAGCTTCTAGCAGTCCTTTTTCAGAGGGAAAGAGCAATGTTTTGGGGACAGGATACAGTCTGAATCAAACACCATCACAGTTTACGCACGGCCAGGCTAGGTTGTCAAATTCCCTGGGATGTTGAATCAATGTTAGTAAACTGTTTATTTAAGATTGTCTGTTACTAGAACATCTTTGTTCAGTATTTATTGGAGTTTCCCTACCGTCAATGGATGTAAAAGTTTGTTTCATTTCTCTGCAGCTCTTATATGTACTTTCGTAAACGCTGTTGAAAGGCTGTTTTGTAACTTTACAGAATTACTGGACTTAACAAGCCACAGCAGAAAGAGAGATACCACATTACCCTCTAGCAATGGCACACTCCTTTTTACTTCTCTGACGTCTGCTAGCCCTGCCTGGCTCACAAAAAGGATTTTGTCTCCTCTACAATTATACCAATGGAGTCTTGGTTTTAAGATACACACCTCACCATAGCATTTTTAGACTAGAGAAGCGAGCAATCTCCTAAAGCTTTGTATAATAGCAGAGGTGGGAAAACTACGGCCCGCGGGCCACATTTGGCCTGCAGGACCATCCTGCCTGGCTCCTGAGCTCCCAGCTGGGGAGGCTAGCCCCCGGCCCCTCCCCTGCTGTCCCCCCTCCCCCACAGCCTTAGCATGCTGCACCGCCGGCGCTCTGGTCAACCGCTCTTGCCAGGCAGGGGGATGGGGAGCATGAGGGTTGGATAGGGGGGTGGGGTCCCGGGGGGGGGGGCGATTAGGGGTTGGGGCAGTCAGGGGACAGGGAGCGGGAGGGTTGGATAGGGGGTTGGGGTCCCAGGGGGCGGTTAGGGGCAGGGGTCAAGGAGCAGTGGGGGTTGGATGGGTCGGGTGTTCTAAGGGGGGCAGTCAGGGGTGGGAAGTGGGAGGGGATGGGACGGAAAGGGGCAGGGGCCAGGCTGTTTGGGGAGGCACAGCCTTCCCTACCCAGCCCTCCATAAAATTTCACAATCCTGATGTGGCCCCCGGGCCAAAATGTTTGCCCACCTCTGGTATATAGGATGTAGCCTATTTGTTCTAAACATTGGTCCATCCAGTGAAGTACGTTATTTCCAGCTGTGGCCAATAGGTTATGCTTCTGAGGAAGATGAACATTTATCATTCCCTTAGCACATTATACTATGATATTTATAGAGGGATAAACTCCTCCTTCACCTCTAAGGCAATCAACCCATGCACAGAATCATAGAAATGTAGGGCTGGAAGGGATCTCAAGAGGTCATCTACTCCAGCCACTTGTGCTGAGGCAGGACCAAGTATACCTAGTCCATGCCTGACAAGAATCTGTCTAATCTGTTCTGAAAACCTCCAATGATGGGGATTCCACAACCTCCCTTGCAAGCCTGTTCCAATGTTTAACTATCCTCACAGTTAAAGTTTTTCCTAATATCTAACCTAAATCTCCCTTGCTGCAGATAACGCTTATTATTTCTTGTCCTACCTTCAGTGGACATGTCCTCTCACTAACAGTCTTCAAATATGTTAAGGGCTGTTATCAACTCAGTCTTCTTTTCCTAAGACATGCCCAGTTGTTGTTTTTTTAACCTTTCCTCATACATCAGGTTTTCTAAACCTTGTATCACATTTTTGAAGCTTGAGACTTAAAAACTGAGAATGGTCATAGTGGGTGATACCAATGGTGCATGTAGCCCAATATCCTGTCTTCCAGCAGTGGCCAGTGCCAGATGCTTCAGAGGGAATGAACAGAACATGGCAGTATATCAAGAGATCCATGCCCTGTCATCCACTCCCAGCTTCTATCAGTCAAAAGTTTAGGGACACCCAGAGTATGGAGTTGTGTCCCTGACCATCTTGATTAATAGCCACTGATGGACCTATCCTCCATGATCTAATACTTTTTTGAACCCAGTTATAGTTTTGGCCTTTACAGCATCCCTTGGCAACTATTTCAATAGGTTGACTCTGAGTTGTGTGAAGAAATACTTCCTTATGTTAGTTTTAAACCTGCTGCCTATTAATTTCATTGGGTGACCCCTGATTCATGTGTTATGTGAAGGGGTAAAGAACACTTCCTTATTCACTTTCTCCATACCATTCACAATTTTAATAGATCTCCATCATATCCCCCCCCTCAGTCATCTCTTTTCCAAACTGAACAGTACCAGTCTTTTTAATCCTTCCTCATATGGAAGCTGTTTCACACCCTAATCACATTTGTTGCCCTTTTCTGTACTTTTTCCAATTTTGATATATCTTTTTTGAGATGGGGTGACCAGAACTTCATGCAGTATATAATGTGTGAGCACACCATGGTTTTATATAATGACATTATGATGTTTTTTGTCTTATTATCTATCACTTCCCTAATGGTTCCTAACATTGTTAGCTTTTTTGATTGTCACTGCTCATTGAGCAAAGGTTTTTAGAGAACTACCCATGACGACACCAAGATCTCTTTCTTGAGTGGTAACAACAAATTTAGAGCCCATCATTTTATATGTATAGTTGGGATTATGTTTTCCAAAGTGCATTACTTTGCATCTATCAACATTGAATTTCATCTGTCATTTTGCTGCCTAGTCACCCAGTTTTGTGAGATTCTTTTGGTAACTCTTTGTAGTCTGCTTTGGACTTAACTATCCTAAATAAACTTTTCCACCTCATCATGGTTTACCCTTTTTTCAAGATCATTTATAAATATATGGAACAGAACTGGTCCCAGCACAGATCCTTGGGAGACCCCGCTATTTACCTCTCCATTGTGAAAACTGACAATTTGTTCCTACCCTTTGTTTTTTAAGCTTTTAACCAGTTACTGATCCATGGAAGGACCTTCTCTCTTATCCCATGACTTCTGACTATGCTTAAGAGTCTTTGGTCAGGGATGTTGTCAAAGTATTTCTGAAAGTCCAAGTACACTATATCCACTGGATCACCCTTTTCGACACGATTGTGGACACACTCAAAGAATTCTAATAGATTGGTAAGGCACAACTGCCCTTTACAAAAGCCGTGTTGACTCTTTCCCAACACGTCATGTTTATCTGTGTCTGATAACTCTGTTCTTTATTATAGTTTCAACCAAATTTGCCTGATACTGAAATTAGGCTTAGTGACCTGTAATTGCCAGGATCACCTCCGAAGTCTTTTTTAAAAATTGACATTACATTAGCTATCCTTCAGTCATCTGGAACAGAGACTTAAATGATAGGTTACATACCACAGTTAGCAGTTCTGCAATTTCACGTCTGAGTTCCTTCAGAACTCTTGGGTGAATACCATCTGGTCCTGGTGACTTACTGCTGTTTAATTTATCAATTTTTTCCAAAACCTCCTCTATTTACACCTCAATCTGGGACAGTTCCTCAGATGTGTCACCTAAAAAGAATGGCTCAAATGTGGGAATCTCCCTCAAATCCTTTGCAGTGAAGACAGTGGCAAATAATTTATTTAGCTTCTCCAAAACTGCTTTTTCTTGCTTGTGTGCTCCTTTAGCACCTCAATCATCCAGTGGCTCCACTGATTCTTTGGCAGGCTTCCTGCTTCTGAGGTACTTAAATTAAAAAAAAAAAATTTTTTTTTGGCTGTTTTTGTGTTTTTTGCTGGTTGCTCATCAAATTATTTTTTGGCCTCCCTAATTATACTCTTAAATTTGACTTGCCAGAATTTATATTCCTTGACACCTATAATTCAGTATGTGGTACAATTGATCTTAACAAGTTAAATTTCTAAATGTGATTTTTTTTTTAAAAGAACACCTTTTAATTTTACCTGTATACCAGATCCAGCACCCTTTTACTGAAAGACTTACCTGTCCTCCTGATGTTGAGGTTCAGCAGATGTTTCTTGCTGGATCCTAGCAAGACACTCATTTTGTCTTTTCTTTTTCCTGTCCCGGACATTCAAGAAAATGGAGAGCAAAAGGAGCAGCACTCCAGCCCCAACCAATACATAAGCTACCGAAAAGGTCTTACTCTTCAATATTCCTCCACCATCATGCCCTGAATTGCTACTATTTCCAGCAGATGAGGGAGGCTTATCACTATGGCCAAATCCTGGGACCAGGTTCCAGACTGCCATTATGATCCCAAGGACAAGCATTCCTAACCCGATAGCAGTCAGGGCATAGTAAGATCCATTTGACTTGAACTGGGCCATCATACCCAGTGCTAGATCACTAGATAATAAGCAGAGTCAGCTTATAGCATGCCACTTCCAAAAAACGGTGTGTAAAATCCAAGCTTCGCACTTTTATGAATCCACCCAAATGCTTGAGTTTAGAGAGAAATCTGGAAAAGGAAAAAGAATAGCAATTAGTACATGTGACTTATAGAACGAGCTACAATTATGGTGAACAAGAAGGCCACTTGGCATCATTTTGTTTTATCAACCTTAATACTGGAAATTAAAGCACATTTTTATGACCATGCAGAGTAAGCCAAGGGCTAATATAATGGCCAGATTTAAGGAAGGATCACTACTGGCCATTCTGGTTATGCATGGGAAGAGAGTAGCCCCAGGCTTTTTGTTCCATGCTGCTTTTCTGGTGTGAGGCATGAAAGACAGATCCTGGCCATTTGCCAAAGTCGCCCCCTTCCTCCCCTTGCCAAGTTCTGCAAAAACAGGAGGTGTATTGACAGGTTTCAGAGTAGCAGCCGTGTTAGTCTGTATTCGCAAAAAGAAAAGGAGTACTAGTGGCACCTTAGAGACTAACCAATTTATTTGAAGCATCCTTCTGGCCAAATTCCAACTTGGAGTGATTATAGTCTGTCTAAATGCAATTAACCCTATAGTTTCAACTGGAGAATTTCTCTCTTCCCTTGCTATGTGGTTTAAACACCACACAGGGAACCAGAATTCCTAGGTTATAATCCTGCCTTTAACAGAAACACCCTTTTCTGTTGCACTAAGGAACCTGATTCAGAACTTATGGGTAATATTTGCAAAAGCACCTAAGAGATTTAGGGGCCTAAATCCCATTTGAAAAAGTGATTTAGGTGCCTGACTCCTACATTCCTGGCGCATTTCAATGACACTTAGGTGCTTTTGAAAAATTTACCCTATCTGACTTACCTACCTCAAAAGGGTGTCAAAGTGATTAAGTGTTAAGCACTTTCAAAATGAAGACTGCTAGGTATTCGTGCTAGTTATTATTGGTGAACAATCGCACCTTGATCACATATATAATCTGTAATGCTTTGGAATCTCAGAATGAAAGGTACTTTAAAAAGATACAATATGGTAATATACATTTAAGATTCTTTATGTCACATGCCCCATGGGGCTTCACTATCTTGAAGACTAATTCCCATTGGCATAATATACTGGTCCCAATACCAAAATGGAAAATCACAAGCCTTAAGAACAATACTTTGAAAGAAGAACTGGTTAAAGATCTGTCTGGTCTGGTGTGAGGGAAGTCTTTTCACACACAAAAGAAAAGCAAGCAAGAATTCTGTCTCAGCATTTGTGTAAGGGAGCAAGCTGGACCACAGGTTCCTCTTCTCCCAGCTGTTGAGAGAGAGAGAGAGAGAGAGTGCCCAGAGAATGCTCTCTCTTAAATACAAAGATGCTTCACTGACATGAAAAACACGCTCCTGGTCAGTGATATTAATACAATAGAAACTAGTGATGACAAGATTCAGCCATGTGTCTCCAAACTGACATGCAAGGCATATCCAAGTCAGAAGGTCAAGTTGTTGAACCAGCAGGCAGACAGGCATTGTAGCTGACCTTAGAATCTCCTGCCCCTGGCCCCCAACACCTTGTAAACTGATTTTTTTTCCCCCACCGTTGATGGAACTAATCTTGGTTGGCTTCCTAAGATAATATAGCAACTGGCACCTTATTAATGCCTGGATAGATGCCAAACCAAAGCAGTTTATGGCTAGCCTTAAGCTAATAAAGTATTAATTCCAGGGTATTTAGGGACCTCTTTGGTGTGCTTACATCAGTATGCCTGTAACCATTTATATCCTCTGGAAGGTTTTATGATAGGTCCCTAAATCTCTTATACATGTAGAGCAAAAGCAAAGTAAAACAATCAAGGAGATCCATTATAAATTACTGCATTTTGCCAATTAGTATGTAAACAATAAAGGACATTGCATTACAGAACATACTTTGTTGGTTTTGTTTCGTTTTAACACTTGTAAACATAGTAACAGGTTTCAGAGTAGCAGCCGTGTTATTCTGTATCCGCAAAAAGAAAAGGAGGACTTGTGGCACCTTAGAGACTAACACATTTATTTGAGCATAAGCTTTCATGAGCTACAGCTCACTTCATCGAGCTGTAGCTCACGAAAGCTTATGCTCAAATAAATTTGTTAGTCTTTAACTTGCCACAAGTCCTCCTTTTCTTTTTGCGTAAACATAGTAGTACGTCCTGTAAAAATAATGAAGTCTTAGTATTCTGAAACCTCACTTCAGAATTTTACTATGAAGTCTTTGCTGATATAAAGGAAAGACTTGCGTGCAATAACAATGGTTAAATTAGCAAAGTTTCACTGGCATTATTGTTGTATTTTGGTGTGTTTTTCCATGCTTTACGTACGTACTTCCTGAGCTGAAATACTGTGGTTTAGTGTTAATTTTTACCTTAGTCCAGGCATACAGAGTATTATTGTGCAGTGCTAATTACACTATCAAACTTTTCACCTGTATCATGACGACTTTGTTGCTTATTAAGAATCTGACGCAATGCTTAATTTGTAATGAAGGAGGTGCCAAGGCTCAAGCAATTTTTTACATTCATAACTGCTGCAGCCCAGAGGTGCTGGGGCTATGAACTGCCAAGCCTAGAGGTGCCAGGGATCTGCCCTGGCACAAATTAAGCACTAATCTGGAGGAAACTGACCATACAGGTTAGCTGAAGCATCATAACATTAGAATGCTGAGCAACCGCTTCAGAATTCCTCTCCACCTCCCCCAAAGCAATCATGTTGGAGCATGAGATTTCTCTTAAATACCAGTTGTGATCTCTTCCAAATGTGCCTCAGATACTCAGTTTCTAGTGTGTTTGATTTTCAAAAATTGTTATGGAGATGAATGAATTGTTTGCTGGGTATTGGCTGCCAGATAATTCATCCATTGGCACCTGCAGTCACCTTCCCTGATGACACGTGCTACTGCAACAGGGCTGAGAGTCCCAGTGATGTAGCAGTTTATACCAAGCAGTAGTGTGGCTTTAAGGTCAACACAGAGAAATCTGAACAGCATTTGGACTCAAGCAAGGCTTTGGGTCGTATTAAAAACTAGCTGCATAGTCTCTTGTTGGGTCAGCCCCACATATCACTCTGGGGTCGGAGCCTCGGCACATGGTTACTAATAGCATTTAATACGGACTAAGGTCTGGTGGAAGGCTGCACATAGGCAATTCTATATTTTATTCTACCATTCGATCATGCTTGAAAAGTGGGTTCCCATCTAATTTGTTTGAAGCTCTTTGAGTGCAGGGTTTTTTCTAACCAGGAACTTCACCTGTGCAACTCTGCCATTTATGATCATTCGCAGTGGTTTGTTCTGCCTTTTGCTCCTCGGCTTTATGTCGCAGAGCCCTGCAAGATACTTTTCAGAGTAGCAGCTGTGTTAGTCTGTACCCGTAAAAAGAAAAGGAGGACTTGTGGCACCTTAGAGACTAATAAATTTATTAAAGCATAAGCTTTCTTGAGCTACAGCTCACTTCATCGGATGCATGCAGTGGAAAATATAGTGGAGAGATTTTATGTACACAGAGAACATGAAACAATGGGTGTTACCATACAGACTGTAACAAGAGTGATCAGGAAAGGTGAGCTATTACCAGCAGGAGAGCGGAGCGGTGGGGTGGGGCGGGGTGGGGGAAGCTCACCTTTCCTGATCACTCTTGTTACAGTCTGTATGGTAACACCCATTGTTTCATGTTCTCTGTGTACATAAAATCTCCCCACTATATTTTCCACAGTATGCATCCAATGAAGTGAGCTGTAGCTCACGAAAGCTTATGCTCTAATAAATTTGTTAGTCTCTAAGGTGCCACAAGTACTCCTTTTCTTTCTGCGAGATACTGAATCCCACTACACTATCAAGGCATATCATGGAAAGCTCTTAGACGGAATATGAACTTTTGATTAAAATTCTACTGCATGCAGGAAATCTACTACATTAAGTATTTAAGCTCTGTGGAAATCAGGAGTGCAGCTTATATTAATCTTGGTAAAAGTTAAACAAATTATGAAAGATGACTGGATACTCTTTGGTTAAAAAAAAAAGTGAGCTAGGTCCAGCTGACATCCTAATACCTGAAAGATAAAAATTGCAGCCAGTAGTGGAATCTATATAAATGTATCTTGGAACTCTGTAGCAGAGTTCCTAGCATTCTACAGTGTGGACTAGATAAACTTTGCAACAGAGTTTGTTTGGAATGTTCCCGCTTTAATTGGCTGCCAAGAAAAGTATCCCAGCTGCACAAATATGGACACATTTTCAATTCCTCCTGCGCCTCTATTTTTCCATGGTTATTTATGTTGGATGGGACCTCATGAATATATGGTACTTGGGTATTTAGCGCTGTAGAATGCTTATATTTATCATTTGCCCCATACCTTTTATCACTGACTTACAATTCATCTATATTTAGTATTGTGATTTCTTGGTTAGATTAAGAGAAAGGCTAGTTCTTGTGTCCTTTAAACTGTAGAACAGCCTTCCCAGGAAAGTGGTAGATGATCCAGTTACTTGCGGGAACAGACCCACACTGGCCAGGTGGGAAAGAGCAGTGGACTGCTGACAGCGGGCATAATACCACAGAGAATCTGACCCCAGATTTTCATGGCGATCCTACATTCTGATGCTTTGTAGCAATTAATATCTAGCCCTGACGAAGGACAGATTTCTCTAACCACTCTGAGTTGTAGGATTGATCCCAAGTCAATCTAGATAGTATCTAGCAGAGAAAGAGGAATCACTGAACCAGTCTAGATATAAGATGGTTGCTTCTGCCAAATGCATTGGCCAATTAAATTTGTAGAAAAGTCCTTAGCGTCCAGTTGAAAAACAGAGTTCGATTATTTTGTATTTCTTTATTGAACAAAGATAAAATAATGAATACTGCAGCAGATGGGGATTCCGTAAATGCTGAATTCCAAGTTCTCTCCAGTGAAAATGTCAGTAACGAGAGCAAGTAAACAAAATTTGAAAGTAGTATTTATACTAAGTAGAAAATGTGTTACCCCAGGATTTCCTTTCCTAGGACTGACCTCTCCTCTCAGTCTGAGCCATATACACCGTAGACCTGCTTTAGGGTCAGACT